GATGGAGACTCTAACTACAACCGGACTAGTGGCCCCGAGTAAAGTGGACTCGATCCAGGGTTCAGTCCATTGAGTGGAGTTCATTCAGTCCGTTCTGTTCAGCCTCGGCCAATCTCTACAACTTTCGCCCCCACTTGCAGAATGTCCCCCCCCGGCTCCAGGCTCCGACCATGAGTCAATCTTTTTGCACTGCCTGACTTGCTTACGGATCTCACTTTTCCCCCGCGCTCTTTCGAAGTCCACCCGTGGATACATATCTGGAGTGATCTTCCAGGTTTTGGTCCTGAAAAAGTAGGCGGGACCTCCGAATAGCTTCATTGTGCGACCAGTTTCCACCATGGAAAAACCACTCCCCGTCGGCTACCGCTGGCGCTCCTCTCGCTCTTTCATCGTCTTCACCGTCACCGTCGCCTTGTTTGCTGAAACCTTTCTTTATGGCTTCCTCGTCCCCATCTTGAGCTACATGATCGAGGTGCGGTTGGGAATCGACCCGTCCGAGACCCAGTGCTACATGACCACTTTGCTGTCCATGCACGGCTTCCTGGGGATTGTGGCTGCCCCGATCATCGCCCACTTCGCCGACAAGACCCCCAACCGCAAGGTTCCCTTACTTCTGGCCCTGGGTGGCTGCTTCGTTGGAACCGGGCTCGTCGCTTCGACTCTCAATGGTGAGTGTGATCTAGATCCTTGAGCTCTTTCCATCGCGACGAGGCGGCGATGCTAACTGCTGGACAGTGGCCGCGCTTTTCATTGGGCGCACGATGCAGGCGATTGCGGGGTGTGCTGCCTGGGTGGTGGGACACGCCATGCTGACCGACCACATCGATGCGGATAATCTGGGGAAAACGTTGGGGCTCGCGATGACTTTTGTGACGGCAGGAATTATCTCGGGACCGACCGTGGCGGGAGCGATGCTGGAACTCTTTGGATACTGGGCGGCCTGGTCGGTTCCGCTGGTCGTGCTGGCGGTGGACATTGTCGCCCGGTTGATTATGCTGGAACCCGATCGATCCAGCCCTGTCGCAGCTGCGACGCAGGATGAAACCACGGGTCTTCTGTCGGATAGCTCCGAGGCTCAACCGACTCCAGGGGACTCGGCTTCGACCAGCACCAGCACCACGCTCACCGATGCTTCCTCCCCTCGCCACTTCTACCAGATCATGCTGAGTGACGGGCGGGTTCTGGCCGGCCTGGCGAATACCTTGTTGATGTCCTCGATCTTTTCCGGCTTCGAAGCGACGCTCCCGCTGCACCTCCGGGACGTCTTCCACTGGGGCAGCTTGCCGACCGGAATGATGTTCTTCTGTCTGCAGATCCCCTCGTTCTTCCTCTCCGCTGCCGCCGGGTGGATGCGGGATCGACAGGGACTCCGCAATCCGACGGCGCTGGGCTGGTTTACGCTGGCGCCCCTGCTGTGGCTGTTGGGAGTGCCCGGCGACGACAAGTTCCCCTGGGCCAGCCCCGACACCAACGGCAAACCGATCTTCGTCACCACGATGCTGGGTTTCGGTCTATTCTCCATGTTAGTGCGCGGAGCGGGCAGTCTGCAGGTAACTTGTGAGTGCGATCCGCTTCTTCCCCTCGGGTTGTCATTGCTCTCCCGTCGCATGTGCTAACCAAGAAATAGGGGTCGTGAAGGAGAAACAGACGAAAGACCCGCTCATCTTCGGACCGCATGGAGGCAGCTCGCGCGCCTTCTCCATTGTGGAAATGGCCTTCGGGACCGGCTCGATGGTCGGGCCCTTGATCGCCGGGTCGCTGTCCGAGACCGTCGGCTATTATTACTCGACCACGGTGTTTGGTGAGCGTTTTCTGTTCTGATGGTGCATGAACTGACAAGCCCGCTAACATTGTCTTTGCCTTCAGCCATCACCTGTCTCGCGCTCGCCGTGGTGACCTACAAACTCTTTGACAGCAAAACCGCCAAACCTGCTCGACTGGCGGATTCGAACGCTTGATGAGCTAGACGTACGTGCGTGGAACTTTTATGACGACAAGCATACAAAATAGACGACGGAGATGGAACTAAAAGTTTGTTTTGGCTGCATGGGTATTTAGATGCATAATGAATCTGCCTTCTTCGTCACTCGTTCTCGTGCAACGTAGTCGTGGTGAAACTGGAAATAGTAGATGAAGTCAAACTCCATAACTACACCCTAGTGTAGTCTCATAGTATCACGACAACCGAGAATATGCGCAGTCTGTGCGTTTCCGCAGTGGAACGTGCGTTTCTCCGTCAAGTTGGGCCTGGATGCCGTCAACGGTCGCGATGGCCCGAGCGGAGGGCAGAAAGCCCTTTCCTATGCCCTTCTGCCCTTCATAACAACACGTTGCTGCGTATTCTCCTTGCTACGCCTCGATCAGTGAAATAATCACCCCTCGCAAGTATGAGGCAAAAAGAAAACAATCATCCGCTCGGTGCATATCGAGGGTTAGGTCAATGTCGCGGCATGAAGGAGATTCGACAGTGTGTTGCAGGGTGTAACAGCCGGCTCGAGCGTTGAGACAGTGTCGGATTCCGCCCGAGACAAGCTGAGGCTGAGAACGGATCAGGGGAGGATGTGCCGGAGGTAAATATCCTCATCACTGCTATTTACAGGAGTGGTGTGTTTATCCCGGGTCCGGGTTTGCGACATCCCGGGTTTGGAGAGACTTACATGTTTACCTAGGTTGGGGGACGGTGGCGCTTCAACTTCAAGGGGCGACTCCACTTGTTGAAGAGAAGAGAATGAGGTGTATCTATGGAGGAGCATGGAGTACTGCAGTGCAGTGAATGTAGGTAAAGGCAGTAGCCCTAAAAGGGGGGAGGGGGTGTAACTTCTTAATCTTCCCTCCCGATCGGAGTAAACGAACACCACCGATATGACGGCTCGGCTCTTGAGTTGTCTGCCTGATTGTTTGTGAGTGACTGGGGGTGGGATAGAATCACCCATATTAATAGAAGTTTGCCAAGGTTAGATTGATTTTCGACCTGCTGGATGGAGTCTGGGCGCAATCAAAGTGGATCTGGAGGTGGGAGCGATTGAGAAGAGAGAAAAAAAAAGGGGGAAATAGTGAGGGGTCAAGCATCTGAAACCTCACCATTCCGCAAAGGAATGTTGCTGGGGTTCACTGGGTGTTTCATTTTCCCCTTAGAACGGTTTGCCAAGTCCCCTTTTTCCCAAACCTTTTTTAGTTTTCTAGAACTGCGATCCATCCACCTTCCCCTTCTCTTTTTCCCCTCCTGATTTTCCTGGGTCCGTTGGTGTGTGTCTTCCCCCTCCTCCAGGCTCCTTCAAATCAGTTCTCTTTCTCTCCCGTACTGTACCTTCGCGCTTATACACACCCACCTGCAGCCCAGCTACAACCAACAGTAGCTCTTGATCCAATGGCGTCGCACCACTCCTTCCTACACCTTGACTCTAAAAGAGCGCTGGCCGCGATGGCTTCCTCGCTGCATCTCTGGACCCGCAGCGACTGCGACTCGAGCGACAGTACTTGTGGGGAGAAGCCCGTCAGCAATTTTCTCAAGAGCGGTGTCCCGGGCATTGTCACTGGCGTGTAGGTTTTATTCTTCTTCTTCTTTCTCTTGCGAAGATTCAGCTGCCTTGAGGAAGACCATCAATTGATGTCGACTAGGATCGTACTAGGTGCTATCGTGGTGTTCATCGTCCTGCATTTCCGCAACAAGAAACGCGATGCCCGCGAGGATCAAGAGATTCGCAAGTGGAACGAGGTCAACGTATGACAACGCTGCCTGTCCTACCAGCCGATCTCCCCGCGACGATGCTATTATTCTGTCCGTGGCGGGGAACGTCTGGCGTCTCCTTCTCTCACATACAACCTACATACCCCCTTTCGCTCCCCCTCTCTCTCTCGTGTTATGATTGGATTCATCTGGTTTTAGTCGTGTTCTTTGAGCTCCGTCGCATTTCTTATATTTTCTACATTAAGCCACTGCATGACCGCCCGTCTCGTGGTCACAACGACGCGCTATCGAAATGGTTCTGCTTCTTGATTTGGGTTTATTGGTGTTTGCTTCGTTTTCCGGCGTTGGGTTTTCTCGGTCTTGGGTCTCCGGCCAAGTGACATATACTTGGTCCCTCTTTTCGGTTGATGGTTTGGGTCGTGTTGATTTCCTGCTTCGGCATTCGCGGCTGGCCGGCTGGACGAATGCGTCCGTCAGTCCGCCGGCTCCGTACTATATTGAGACCGGTCTGTGGAGCACTCGTTGTTTGCAGAACGGGCGCTCTACGTTTGTACATAATTGTATTGTATATTCTATCCTAACTGGCATGGGCCATAAACAAACCTCTGGTCCATTTGACAATCCTGATTTTGCTTGTAATAATCTCTACGTCTTTGAGAGAATATACGTGTGGTGTGATGTGCTGTTGATGGTTCCGCGTGCGGACTGCTCTGGAATGCGCGTCCTCCGAATGCGGAGACTACCCCATGTTTCCAACACGCCGGAAATAGACGTGGATGGACCACCAGGAATGTTGTGCCATGCTCGGACATTCCGGTCGACCTTGGATGACAGCCCACTCGGAAGGGACCGCAGCTTGGTACTGTGCCTGCGGAATCTGGGGATGTGGGGTAGCTTAGTACCTTAGTCGGCGACCCCAAATCCAAGCCTGGAGGCCTGGTTCGCTCTTCACAACACGTGACATCTGCCACAACCATCCAAGGTGAATGGTGAGTTTACCCCAAGGTAGACCCAGCTAGCCTGACATCATTGTTGATATTGCATCTTGCGAGAAACAAAAAGCTGGTCGAAAATCCCCGCGGATAAATTGGACCCCTCTTGCACTAGCATGCAGCCAGCAGCCTGAAGTCCTCTGATTAGTGGGATAGACACTCTCCGCCGTAGCCCTAGTCCCGTAGCTGCAGACAAGAGCTTGCATGATCACCATCCGTAGCTCACCCTGTATTCTCCCACTTGCTTAAATAGCAGCACTCCTCACCCAACACTCCCTCATAACGAGTCAATGTGAGTTGTACCTCCTCCAACTCTCACCATGCGCCCCCTCAAACTCCTCCTCTCCCTTACCCCCCTCCTCCCTTACACCCACGCATCCCCACAATTCAACCCCTCAACAGTATCATGGCACACCACCCCCGCCACAAACTTCACCACCACCCTCCCCATCGGCAACGGCCGCCTCGGCGCCGCCGTCTGGGGCAGCCCCGCCCTCGAGAACATCACCCTGAACGAGGACAGCTTCTGGAACGGCTCGTTCGTCGACCGCGTCAACCCCAAGGCATACGGAGCGTTGGCGCCCGTGCGGCAAATGCTGGCCGATGGCGAGATCACCGCCGCGGGTCAGCGCACGCTGCGCGATATGGCGGCCATACCCGCGTTGCCGCAGTCGTATAGTGCGCTGGGGGCGTTGCGGTTGGATTTTAGATTGGAAGGAGAGGTGGGGAATTATACGAGGGCGTTGGATTTGAGGACCGGCGTTGTAGGGGTCGAGTTTGAGGTTTTGGGGGTGGGGTATAGGTGAGTCTGTTCCTTGTTTAATCCAGGATATTGGGTATGGGGTGCGGGGATGGGGTATGGATGTTTGGCAGTGGTAGGACTGATGACGATAGGCGCGAGTATGTGGTTAGTTATCCGGATGATGTTCTTGCGGTGAGGCTTTCAAGTAGTCAGGTTGGGGCGTTGAATGTGGTTTGTTCGTTGGAACGCGAGGTGTTTGTGGTCGAGAGGAGTGCGAGTTTAGATGGAGATGGGGCGGGGAGGTTGGTTTTAAAGGCGAATTCGCTGGAAGAGGAGAGGGGGCCGATTCGGGTTGGGTCTGAGGCGAGGATTGTGGCGTCTGGAGGTGAGGATACTTGCTATATGGGGGTGGGTTGGTGGGTGCAGATTGCTGATGCAGATTGTAGGGCGGATTGAGGCCAACGGGACCTCGATTGTCGTGCAGGGCGCTACGACGGTGGATATCTTCTTCGATGCGGAGACATCCTACCGCTACCCCTCTGCGAGTCAGCGCGAGGCGGTGCTCGAGCAGAAACTGCAGAATGCGGTCAACCGAGGATTTGACGCTGTCAAACACAACGCTGTCTCTGACTACGCTGCACTCTCTACGCGAGTGGACTTAGATCTAGGGTCCTCCGGCGCAAGTGGCAATCTGCCCACAGATATTCGATTGCTGAACTACCAACAAAATCCCGACAGCGATCCGGAACTGGTGACGCTCATGTTCCACTTCGGCCGACACTGTCTGATTGCCTCGTCGCGCCGCAGCGCCAACGCCTCATCGCCCGGCCTCCCCGCCAACCTCCAGGGCCTGTGGAATCAAGACTACGATCCTGCGTGGGGCGGCCGCTTCACCCTCGATATCAACCTCGAGATGAACTACTGGCCCGCTCAGGTGACCAACCTAGCCGAGACCTTCACCCCCGTTCTCGACCTGATGGACATCATCCTCCCTCGTGGCCAGGCGGTGGCGCGCAACATGTACCACTGCGACAACGGGGGGTACGTGCTGCACCACAACACCGACCTCTGGGGGGACGCCGCCCCCGTCGATAATGGGACCACCTGGACCATGTGGCCCCTGGGGGGCGCCTGGCTGTCCGCCAACCTGATGGACCACTACCGCTTCACCCAGGACACGGCCCTGCTGCGCGACCGCATCTGGCCTTTACTCCGCAGTGCCGCCCAGTTCTACGAATGCTACCTCTTCCCCTTCGAGGGCTACCTGAGCACAGGACCCTCGATCTCCCCCGAAGCAGCCTTCCTCGTGCCCGACAACATGTCCATCGCCGGCAGCGCCGAGGGCATCGACATCGCCCCGACAATGGACAACTCCCTGCTATACGAGCTGTTCCACTCCGTCCTCGAAACCTGCACCATCCTCCACCTCACCAACGAAGAATGCACCCGCGCCAACCAGATCCTCGCCCGCATTAAACCCCCACAGATCTCCCCGGCAGGCCGCATCATGGAATGGCGCCTCGATTACACGGAACAAGACCCCGGCCACCGCCACATGAGCCCGATCGTCGGCCTCTACCCGCTCACCCAGCTCACACCCCTCGTGAACACCACCCTCGCGGCGGCCGCCAAGGCCTTCCTGGATTGGCGGATTGACAGCGGCAGCGGGAGTACCGGGTGGTCCCGGACGTGGACGATGAACCTCTACGCCCGGCTGTTCGACGGCGAGGCCGTCTGGAACCATACCCAGATTTATCTGCAGACGTTCGCGAGTCCCAATCTGTGGAATACGGACTCTGGGCCCGATACGGTGTTCCAGATTGATGGAAATTTCGCGTTCACAGCGGGTATTGCGGAGATGTTGGTGCAGAGTCATGCGGGCGTCGTGCATTTGTTGCCCGCGTTGCCGGGGAAGGTCGCGACGGGGTCGGTGACGGGGTTGGTGGCTAGAGGGGGGTTTTGGGTGGATGTGGAGTGGGAGAAGGGGGGTTTGAAGGAGGCCAGGATTGTTTCGAGGAGTGCAGGGCTTTTGAGGGTTAGGGTGCAAGATGGGAAGGGGTTTAGGGTTAATGGGGTGGTTTACACGGGGGTGGTGGAGACTGTCGAGGGGGGTGTCTATGTTGTTACCTCTGTGTAGGTGGAATGGGAATGGCAGATTGGGGGTGGGAGATGCATGCTTGGGAATCGAGATGCATCTGGAACTATATACCTCTTACAGGCTTCTATATAGGCCGTACTGTTTAGCTGATGGCAGTGAGAGGAAGCCATGCACCCAATCAAAGGTATACAAGTATAGCCACATCACGACCAAATTCAATACATGGAAACAAACATTTGTGTGAAGAAGGTACACGTAGTCATTGACCTTATATCTAAGCGATAAATAGTGAGTTTTCAATCAAGTTAAACAATCACAATCGACTCGACTTCCGCCAAGCCCGCTCATCGGGCGTATCCTCCGCTGCCGCAGCGGGCAATTCAGGCTCCGGCAGCCCCAGTGTCCGGGCCACCTCCCGCGCCGCCCAGAAGCCCGTGACAAACGCCAGGGCCAGGCCCCCCGCATACCCGCGGTTACTGAACCCTCCTGCATCGACGCCCGCAATCAACAAGCCGGGGATGGCTGTTCTATCCGCGCTGAGAGCACGGCCCCGTGTGTCGATCTGGACGCCTCCATATGTGAATGTGATTCTATAGACCATCAGCTTTAGCTCAACTGTCAGATATGCGTTGATGGTGCTTACGACGGCTGCACCTCCATCGCATAGAAAGGACCCTCGCCGTCGGTCAGCGGGCGGGAAGCCGCGCCCGCCGTGCCGGTGGGTGCATCCAGCGATACCTCCCGCTTTCCCAGTCGGATGCGACTGTCGTAATTCTCGAGTGTCCGTCTAGCTTGAATACCGTCCACGCCCCATTCTTCTAGTTTCGAGACTAAGTCCGCGATAGACGTAGCACTGGTGACATTGCACCCGTGATCACGGGCCTTCTGCAAGCGATCGATATCTCCTGCGTTCGGGAACAGGGCGGAGACGCAATGCTGGAGTCGTGTTTGCTCGCTGCGGAAGTCAGTTGAGTTGTATTATCCAAGACAAAGGGGCGAACTCACTTGAAGAGGAGGAACCCCCGTCTCCCCTCTTGCTTAGCAAGGTATTGATTGACAATCTCGTCCCCGATGCTTTCGTCGACAAATCTGCGTCCGCCCCGGTTGATAAGGAGACAGTACTTGCTCTCTGATCATGTCAGCACCGATCTCTGGCAATGAAGCCGTGGAACGTACGATACTGCGCCAGCGCCAGGAACTCCTTCGGGTCCACATCTTCCGCCCGTAACGGCGCAGCCAGAAGATGGCCGTAGTAGGTGCCCATTCCCCGGCTTGTGCCTGCACCCGCCGCTGACGCCAGGGCAAGTCCATCGCCCACGGACCCTTTATTCGATCGCACGAAGATGTTGTCTCCCCCGGGCCCCAGATGCGTAGACGTCAGTTGTGCAGAGCCCTGGAATCCTCCCGTCGCCAGAACAACCATCTTCGCTGTTACCGTGCAGTATTGTGCATCTTCGTCCCGCGGGCCAGTTGTGCGAATGATCGCTCCGACAAGGCGGGACCCTGCCACGCCGGGTTGCTCTTGCAGGAGCTGCACCACGGAGGTGTTGGTCAGGATCCTGGACTGGGTGTGGCTGTCGCGGATGCGCTGTTGGTGGTATCGGTGGAGATGCGGAATATTGATCGGAAATCCGATGCCTGCAGGTGGGAGAGATGTCAGGGTCTGGAATAAATGCTTTTGGAGGGAGGAAGACTACCAATCGTCATGATTCCGTCGAACCGTTGCGACGTCGGAACCCCGTTTACACGCATCCACTGTACTGCGCGAAGATAGTCCGCGAGCCATGCTTTTTGTAAAGCAGGATCGCCTTCGGGAACCCAGGCGCGCAGGCTCTCGTAGTTGCGTGGTCCCCAGCTGGGATTTGGTTGTTAGTGCTCACGAGCGGAACTACTCTAATAGAGATGAATGCGCTCACAACATGCCGGCGGAGTAGTTGGAGGATCCCCCGACGGTGGCCTGCTTCTCAACTACCAGCACTCGAGCACCGGCGGAGGCGGCGAAGGCAGCGCAGGCTAGCCCGGACATTCCTGCTCCGCATACGAGTACGTCCACTTCGATTGACTTCATGATGCTTTGTTTCGTGCTTTGCTTTTTGCGAGATAACAGTAGAGAATTTTGTGAGGAGAAATGAGGCAGGAAGGATTGCAATGCGAAGTTATAAGTACCTCCTCATTGTATAGAAGCCTCCGGCCACTAAAAGAAAGGACCGGTCCCGTGCCCGCCCGGCCACTCATTTGCGAATATCGCCGGCTGTTTCCTCTTCCCCACATTTTCCCCTCATCGTCATCAACCGGCGCCACCAGAAATTCTGCTTCGATTGTCAATTCTAAGGCCCGGTCTTTGCGCTTCGTTGTACAAGCATTTCAACTGGTTCTCGATCAAGATGGCGCCCAGCAACGCCGGCGAAGGTCCAACCACCCGGCAATCTACGCGGCCCGTGGCGCCATCGGCGTGCGAGGCATGCAGGAAACTTAAGGTCGGTCTCATCAAACGTTACCTGAACACTTGATCCTAATGGTATAAATGCGTCAGATGCGGTGCACCCGGAACAATACTCTCGACAACTTATCGTGCGATCGCTGCGTGCGCAACCATAGGCCCTGCCGGATTCCTCCAGCGCGGCCTCTGGGACGCAGACCCGGGGCGGTGGGTCGCTTCCAAGGCATCGAGAAAGCATACCGGAAAATCCAGGCAGAACTCAAGAAGGGACCGGCCTCGATGCCTAAGGCTGCAACGCCAATCAATACCCAATTATCGAGCCCCAGCGTATACGAACCGGATGATGGGCCCATTTTGGCCAGTCCCCTGGATGATTCCTCCCATCGTCCCTCGGAGGGTCTCTCGGATGGCCACCCCCAACCCATTAGCAATCCCCTTGCTTTGCTAGCGGACGCATCTGAAGCTGTGCACGCGAATGCCTCTCAAGCATCAAAGGATAATACCCACGAAGGAAGAGGGGGAGATGTACTATCTCATCCCGGATGTGTCTCGTTGGGCCTTCAGCTCAGTCGAGAGAGTCTGGAGACTGGTCTAAACGCGCTCTTTGCTACCTCGTTCAAGCCTGGGCGAAGCTCGGACTACTTCAAACCCCCCGATCCCAGCGCTTTTCGCGATGTTGGACCTGATCTTGATCCGGTTGCTCTAGGATTGGTGACCATGGAAGAAGCCCATCTTTTCTTTCCCATGTCGGTATTTTTCCGCGCTTCAAATGCGATAGGAGGCTGACGCAGCATAGTTACTTTGCTCGACTGCACCCTGTCAACGGCATCTTGGACCCCCTACTGCATACCCCGGAATACGTCCGGTCGCGGTCTGCTCTCCTCTTCACCTGGATCTTGGCTCTTACCGCGCAGTTTGCAAGCAGTCAATCCTCATTAGCAAAGCGCCTGCAACTGCATGGGGAGAAGCTTTCCCGACATGTGCACACCTGTGGATTGAAGTCGGTCGAGATCGTCCAGGGGTATTACATTTCCTTACTGTCCGCGACCCCAGCGAAAACATTAGCTGAGGAGAGGACTTGGCTCTACACCATGTATGCATTTGGGACCGCTGCTGAACTTGGGTTGGATCAGCAATCAAGGTTGCGCGGAGGGGTCTTGGTAACATCCGGTGAAGAACAAGCTCCCCATGATGTTGAGGTTCACCTTGAAAAGCCAGACCTACAATTCTCATCGGGTATTGGCAATGAAGATCACACTGAGAGCACATATTGCCAACGGCTTACCAGAAATCGAGAACGCACTTGGTTTCGGATACTACTCTGGGAGCGAGCAAACAGCGCTGCGCGTGGCCGCATCAATCCTATTCCTAACACGAAACTCATCGCGGGCATTGACACCTGGTGGAAACATCCAGCAGCTGATGCAGCCGATAAGCATACGTGTGCTTTTATTCTGCTGCGCCGGCATTTGGCTTCAATCCATGCCGAATTGCAAGCGCAGACTGCCGCTCCGCCGGACGATCCGCACTGGATGAAAAGACTCGTCGACGAGAGGCTTGAGGGGTGGTGTGATGAGTGGCTTCCCGTGCCATACAATGTGGCCGAACCGTCCGAGCAACTTGCCTCAATATTCCTCTATTATGTGTACTTGCACAATCGACTCTGGATTCTGTCATTTGCTCTTCAAGCTTCGGAGAGCCGTAATGGTAATAGACACATCGAAGCCATACGACAGGACTGCCTTCAAGCGGCGGTTCATACCTGCGAGGTCGCAGTCCGTGACTTGCAGATGGTCGGCGAGCCTCTGTATTGCTTACTCGCACCCACGTGGGCGATGATCTCTTACGCTGCAGTCCTAGCCTTGAAGCTCTTTCCTCAGGTGCATGGTACCCAACCGGGAGAGGATATCGAGCTACTCGCCCTGTTATCGCAGGTGGCTTTGCAGCTGGAGCGCGCTGGGACCACGCCGCCCCATCGGTTTGGTATCGCGGCTCTACTGGGGGAGCACCTCCTGGGAATTCTGCGCGCTAAGGCGGCATCGACGAAGGGTGCTCAGCACAGGACGGTGGGACATTCCTTGCCGAGGTATGGTTCAGGACATCCTGCTGCTGTACTGTCGGAAAGCTCGGGCAATCTGGCTATCTATAATGCTCAGGAACCAGTTCCCGACCCCTGGTTCACAGACGCCTCAGCAGCGATGAGCTACGACTTGACTGGTGATAGTTTCGGTGATTTGTTTCGGGAGATATTTGGTCCAGGCTTTGCCGATTCGTTCTAATCACATCCCTGGCAATGAGCGGGTGACACCGAAACACCTGGGGAAAAGCCTGTTCAGGCACATGTGCACATGATAAAGGTCTGAATCAAGGCAAAATGAATACCTCAAGCATTTACCGCATTTATCGAGTGCCGCAACCTGCTATAACCATGCTTTGATAGAGCTATTGCATGGTTGGCTGCAATCAAGTTTAATCGAGCAAGTTTCAAGTGCGTATTTGAGTTTTCGAACCCTGTATACTTACTAGCACTTCAACTTACCGATCATATAGGATGGGCAGGTCGACTAGTACCTGTCGGGACTCGAAACCACGGCGGTTGGCAAAATTGCCGCGCTTGATTTATCGATTCCAATTCAAGAGTTATGTGTGTGATAAACAAGATCGACACAAACCTCGGCTAAGAAAACCAGTTCCTTACCTGTTGCCCCTGCGGTGTCAGCACCCAAGGGATGAACTCAGGTGCGAAGCCATCTTCTGTCACCCCATTCCCAAAGCTCGCATACTTTTGTGTCGGATCCTCGAAACGGAGGTCGAAATCCTCCCAACGAACGATCTCTGTGGCGGCATAGTAATGGTGGTTGGTTCCCGGCCATGGAACCACTACTCGCCCTTCTTTGTTCTTGTCTACTGATGCATTAACAACGGATACCTCCTTCGAAGAAAGGAGCTATACCTACACCATGAGCTGCATGGATCAGACCACGACATGTGAGCCATGCGGGATTGAGCCCAGCGGACAAATTGATGCTGCGCTTCGGGCTTGACACTAACTGATCGTAGACAGTCAGTCTGCAGTCGCGTCAGGATCCGGATGATGTAGTCGGACGTCCGTTCGATGCCCGGGATGACAGAGCCGTTAACAGGACAATGAGGTGGATGGAAAGCTGCAGTGCTTGCGAATCAGCCATGGATCGACCTTTTGCAGGACTTCGGAAAATATGAGGCCAAACGAACCAAAGAAGTTGGGAAATCCAGCCACCATGCTTGCCATGTAGCTTTCACAGTCGCCTTGCGGACCCCAGCAATCATTCAAGCTAATTCCGTCTCGTCCGATAACTGGGAAGCGGGAGGCGTAGGGCTCAAAGCCCGTGGCGCAAACGACAAGATCGCAATCGTACTCCTCTCCTGAGCACGTCCGCACGCCATTTTCAGTCAGGCTAGCGACATGATCCTGAACTAGATGCACATGCGGCTGCTGCATGGCCTCGATGTACGAATCGCCGATGGTCCACCGCCGACACGCTGGGGCAAAGTCTGGCTGGAGCATTCTTCGGAGGTTCGGATCCTGGATTTTGTGATCGTAGTAGGACTCCACCCGTGCTCGCATTTCGTGATGCGCTGGGGTATTCTTCCAGAGCACACGAAAAGCGGATGCGATCTGCCGCTCGAGCTGGGTGCGATACTTGTGATACAAGTCGGGGTTATTCGCAAACTCAAGCTTCTCTTCCTCCGTGACTGGAATGAGTGGTGAGACGGGTTTCGTTCTGTGAAGGAGTCCTTACATACACCTTTTATTCTCGTCGAAAAGCCCAGGACCAGCCCACGTTTGGCTTCGACAGAAGTTGATCAGCTCTGCAGCTTCTACGCCTTTCTATCAGCGATCGTATAGCAAGGTTCATACTAAGGAAAGGACTTACCATACTGCAGGGCACCGACGCATTGCATTCCACTGGAGCCGTTTCCCAAAACAGCGACTCGTTTTCCCGACACTACTAGGCCCTTTGGCCAACACGCTGTATGGCAAATGTCGCCGCGAAATCCACCCCTCCCGTTGAAGTCCGGGAGTTTGTAATTATTCAGCCGTCCAACAGCATAGACGAAGACATCCGCCTCGACGATGGTCTCTTCCTGGGTAGTCTCATGCTTGAACGTGGTCAGCCAGGACGAGGTTCTCTCATTCCATGTCGCAGATACGCATCGTTGTTGATGGCGAATATACTTCGCCAGCCCATGGTCGGCAATCACTGAGCCTTAATAGGCGCGTATTTCGGGCGCGGACGCATATAGCGTGGACCAGCGGGGATTGGGCGCCCAACTATACTGATACCCATGAGATGGAACATCGCAGGCGCACCTAATAACAGTTACTGTGGTGTTATTACTGCCGGGATAGGCAAGGTATTCGCATGGCAGGTGGGTCGTACCCTGGGTACCGATTCTCGAACCAGGTGCCCCCGGGGCCTTCGTTCTTGTCGTAGATCTTCAGATCAATGTTCCTCATCCGCGAGGTGATATCGTGTGCGATTTGGATTCCGGATATCCTGTGTCAAGAACTGGAGTCAACGATTGATCTGAAATGCGAAATGCCCAAGAAAGGATAGAACCCACCCAGCGCCAATGACAACTACTCTCAATCGACGGGGCATGAATGCCGTTGGACTTGCAGCTCCATGTGTCATTTTCACGAGAGTCGTATAGTATCTAGTTTCTCGCAGGTTTGTAATTGCTAATATGTTGTTGAGTTGAGATAGAATGAGCCATCTCCGACAATGCAGTTCTCTAAGCTCGAACAATCCATAGATTATGCGATAAACTCAAATTCGACTGTATGCATAGTGAATGAGTTCATGAGTCACTTATTCTGCTATCCTTCCTTGTCTCAACACATGATGTTTGTGGTCGAACGTCAACAACAGGAACGGCCGAAAGTCTAACGTAAGTGCGAAGGTAGACTTCATTACTTCATCACTTGTGTTTATTCACACTTCTCCAAGGCAGAAGGACCCGGGACCTTGATCATACCTGACAATCTCTCTTACATGCCACAAAGAAACTTGCTGGTTCTCGGGCTGAAGCAAGGCGAGTAGCAGTCTTCTCCCACCTGCAAGACAGGTTTTTTTGCCCTCTCGATCCAAGGCTGTCTAACATAGGGCGGAAAGTATAAGAGCTTGTTGCTGTTATTCCAGCACGACGGGCCTAGACTCTGCTTTCGCCTACATGCGACCAGTTTCTCAGTGACAGCTGCCTTCACGCATGCTTCAAAAGACTATACCTCTGCATTCAGATTCGCAGATCACTTGGTCAGAGCCCCACATTTATCTGTACCTCATTGAGAACTACCGCGATTGTCGTCAAGAGCCTTGCCAGCCCAATGGTGCGCGTCTTGCAAGTGGATGTTCGAGCAATCACGACGCCAGAGCGATAATATCCTGACTAATGGTCTACCCAGCAGTGTTGTCGATCTTCGCTTGCCATGCATCATTCGCATACTACATCCAAGTGACGTAAGAGTGGATGTGGTTTTGTCCTTGCCAGGTTGATGGCTCAGATATCTGGATGATGTGAATGAACTCGGACATTCAAAAGGCCTGGATATACCTCCGGACTTTTGCCCTCCGTCTGGCTTAAACTTTTGATTCTCTTCATGGGATGCTAACCTACATAAGCACTCCTGTCCCTGCATTGTCTGGGTGCTTTACTACGGCTATGCGATCGCATCCCATCGCTGGTTCTGTTCCTCCAGTGGTGAAATGCGCAGCGGCGGAGCGGCTTGCCTTTGATCGCACGAAACGTGCGAATCGCTGTTTCGCTCCCTGATTTACCGAGGTCTCCGACTGACCTCACGAAGGATGATTTTCTACTCATTTGTGCGGTAGGAGCAGTCCCATGCATGAAGCTGATAAGGTGAAGAGGCTGCCGAGGGAGGGGAGGGGGCGTATCTTGCGCGAGACTACAAATTCCGATCCCACCACGCTGTCCCTCGTCCAGGAGGGGAACAGCAGTCGATCATTGCCTTAATCCAGAAAGTATAATCTTTCTTCTGGTCGTCTGAGTGGATGCGACCCTGGCAAATCCGCGATGCAGAAGAAGAGCATGAGCGGAACCCGGATCACCTGCCTATACAAGCCCTGACTTCACCCGCCTCAATCCCCCTTTTATGGCTCCTATACTTTCTCTATCTCATTTACCTCGCATTAAGCTGACAGCTGGTTGGCACGATGCTCCGACCGGCGGATCCAGCGCTCATCGTGATTTCTGAATCAGAGCCAGTCACAGCAGGTGTGTTCTTGGATCATCGGTTGCTCCGACTCAACTTACGGAACAAGGAGCTAAGTCCGACGAGTTGGATCGAGGAAGCACCGGTCAGTTGAGATATCGACCGCAATCGTGCCCCTGGTGGTGATAGCGCAAGCACGAATGGAGTTTTTCTTGACCCATCTCCCCCACTCTTGAAGAAATTTACAGTGGAACGCGATCAACCCACGAACGGCGATCCGCATGCTAAGCACTACTGACAGAAAAGCTTTGCGAAGGAGCAACACCGACCGGAACATCAATGACATTTATGCCATGGTTGGTGAAAGGAGGTATTCGGATATGTCTGGTGGCAAATGGAAAGATAACATACAAAAGCAATGCAAGAGACGACGACAACAACCGGGAAATTGTGCAGGGAAATGCATAATCAGAAGCGGACCGGCATAAGTTGATTGATGCCTGCGATCTGAGCTCGGATTTACCCCCAGTGGAAGAAGCTGCATAAGCGAAGTGTCTAGCAGTGATTAGGAGCGAGCTTAGCGTGTTCTACGAGTGGATTTCCTGAAGGCGAAGGAGAACCAAGCATTTGTTTTCCGACGCCACCCACGCACACGCATCCACCCACAGCCATTCACCACTCATCACTCACCCCTCGTCACAACCACTTGGGAAAAAACAGCTTTGGTGAACATGGACCTGGTAATGTTCCTGAATATCGTGCCTCTGGACAGAAATCAGTCTCGATCCATGGATTGACAGACAACGGCTTGTTCATCCATTGACAAAAAGAGTCGGATAACGCGGATGCTGGATCCCTTAGAATCTGCACATCCAATAACAGACTCGCGATCGGATGTTGACTGGAACCACTTCGACGTCATTGGAGACACACCGATGGAGTCGGGATTCAGGGCACAAGCCATTCACAGCCCATGCACTGGTTCTCGGTGCACTGCACTCCTCAGGAACTCCCGAGTTTCTGTTTTCCGAGGCCCGCCGAAGAATCCCTCCGACCCACTGGGCCATGGGACAATTACGCCAGCACAGGCCCTAAACTCCTCTCCGCCTCGACGATCTCTCGCATCCCATCTCCCAATCCCAGTCCATTCTCCCATCTGCTCCATCCACCCACCAGACATGGCGTCATGGAACAATGGCTTGCGACCGGTGGAAATCATGATCAGGCAGGCCCTCCCCTTCACCGCGGGTCTGCTGGAGGCTTTGTTGTTGCTTAACCTTTCTTTCCCCCTTTTTTTCACTCTTCTCCCATCTCAGTAAACCATCAACATACCCGTTAATTCTCCATCACTTGCAGGGAGACTGGAATTCCTCCCACTTGACGTGAATCATATTCTGAAGTTTGGTCAACATGAGCGACGCAGACGCCGGACGCGACGCTGAACGCGACTCCGGACGTCCCCGGGCCAGGGTGAGTGCCTCCGAACAACTCGCTGTCCACAGAAAAGTGAAGCTGAACTTAAGCTTTTTGCGCAATGATAGTCCGACGTGGATCGAGTCCGCGAAGAAGCGACCGGGGCATCCTCGCCCCCTATCTCGCCGGTCGGCCGCGGTCGCCGTGGCACCATGGACTCCGATTTCATCTCTCCCACCCGTCGCGTCTCCGGTCGTGACGGCGAGCTGGGATCTGGCGTGCGTCGTCGCAGCTCGGCCGCCTCTCGCCGGAGCGGACGCAGCGGTGGCATCCCCAGTCTGGCTCCGCGGACGACACTGGCCCAGCGGACGCAGGGCAAGTTCACCGTGGCCGGGCCGGACGACACGTCGCAGCTGCGCCTGGCGCACGAGCCCTTTGTGCAGCCGGGCTACGGTGACCTGAATCCAGCCTACGAGCAACCCGTGAATGCACGACCAGTCTGGGGTCTGGCTAAACCCTTGCCTCGCGTGGTGCGGTCTGGCATGGTGCCCACCAAGGAGGAACTGCTTGAAGCCCGCCAGAACGCCCAGTTGCCGGCGGAGAACTCTCAAAAGTATGGATTGGACGTCGACCCAAACGACCTGGAGCAGGGCCAGATCGAAAAGACCACTGACCCGCGCCTGATGGCAGCCCAGGTCGAAGACGCGCGTCTGCAGCGCGAGGTCAACTTCATGAACAAACTCCTGTCGGGCGACACCACCTCCATCCGCGGCTCCCGCATGTCTCGCACCTCGTCCACCCGTCGTCGTCGGTCCTCCGCCGTGGGGTGGGAGGAGCAGCTATCAACGGTGGCCGAGGGCGAGACGCCGGCCACCAGCATCCACGGGGACGACGACGAGGAGACCGAGGGGCCCTCGGCAGCAGCCCCGCCGCACCGCGGGAGCAACGACCATCGCCCGAGCGACGTTCCCCTGCAGCCAGTCCCGGAGGAGCCGGAATGGCACGGCGACGACGACACAGCCGGGGGGTCTCCGAATCTCGAGGAGGAGCTGAAGGAAGGGCTGGACGACCTGTCAGCCCTGGAAGACCCAGCTCTGCCGGAGGATCTTCACCCGCTCGTGCAGGAGCTGGTCGAGGAAGAAGTTCACAACAATCACACGACCTGGTCGGTGATTCGGACGCACCACCGCGAGGCGCTGGCGGAGGCACTGGGCGTTTTCGTGCAGCTGTTCGTCGGCTTCTGTGCTGACCTGGCTGTGACCTGCGCTGACGCGGGCAACCCCAACACGACGGATTGGGCCTGGGGCTTTGCGACCATGATGGCCATCTACGTGTCCGGTGGTATCTCCGGTGCGCACTTCAACCCGGCCATCACCATCATGCTGTGGTTCTACCGTGGTTTTCCCAAACGCCTGATGCCCGAGTACTTCGCCGCGCAGTTTTTGGCGGCCTTCATCGCAGCGCTCTGCGCTTACGGTCTCTACTACGAGTCGATCCACGAGTACCTGGCCTCGAACGCCACCTCCGGCGTCGTCAACAGCTTCGTCACGAACCAGCGATACAGCTGGATCGGCGGCGCGACGGCCTTCTTCAACGAGTTCTTGGGTACTATGATCCTGGTCATTGTCGTGCTCGCGCTGGGTGACGACCAGAACGCGCCGCCGGGTGCCGGTATGAACTCGCTGATCGTGGGCCTGATGATCATGAACCTGAGTGTGGCGTTCGCCTACCAGACGGGGGCGGCCTTCAACCCGAGCCGTGACTTTGGGCCCCGACTCGCGCTGCTGGCCCTGGGCTACGGCAGCGACCTGTTCACCAACGCGTACTGGTTCTACGGGCCCTGGGTGGGGGCGATCGGCGGGGCGATGATGGGCGGCTTTCTGTACGACTTCTTCATCTTCACGGGTGGCGAGTCGCCGGTCAACTACCCCTGGGAGCGGACCGAGCGGGCCATGCGCAAGAGCAAGATGAAGTGGAGGCGGCGGTTGCATCTGTCCAAGGAGCAGACGGAGAAGAGCTAAGCTCTGTTTAGCATCTGTGGCTTATGTCTATAGACGAGTTGTGGGATGTTGTAGATATTATGTTGGTGTGTTTGTTTATTTGTTTCTGGGTGCACCAAGCACCATGGTCGGTTGTTCATTTAGCCTGAATACATCTTAGATTGAATCTCGATACGCCAGACCCTGGGGATCGTGGCTTAGTGGGTCTGTTATAGCATTATTCCATCTGTTATGCTTCAGCTTAATCCCGGTCTGAGAGCCTTGCTTTTTTCGAACACACACACTTTCCTCCGTCCGGGTGTAAACTCCCCGGCGGTAATTTCCGCAAATGAATATCCAAGCCACCAAACTGTAATTAAGATAAAGTAATCTGTACCAAGAATCCGCCGGGTCAAGCAATGCCATTGTGAGGTTGCATACCTGCTTCCCGCCGACAGTTCAATTGTGGCAACCCCAACTCGGATGATTCCCATCCTACCATTTCCACCGCATGGACATATTTAGTAACAGACGGAGCCACCTCGTGGCAGGGAGTCTGCTCCCCGATCCAGCACTGCAGCTTAAGGACTTGCTTAACGGTTTCAGTTTGCGCAGGAAAAACCGGGTTGGCCGCGCCGAAGAAATCGGACGATGAAGTCACGGGACCCACATCGACCCCGAGGCAGGCCGTGACGTCACGCTTCTATCTCTCTATTCTCTATCATTCGGTCAACACCTTTCTTCCACCATCCTTCATCATGACGCTTTTTCAATGGCGGCCAGCAAGATTGTGGTGCTTGGCGTTGGCTCGTTCTTTCGGCGAGGAGGAAGAGGAGGGATGGCGAGATGCACGACTTCAGCCTGATCAACATCGTCTCCGGGTAAATTCTCTCCTACACCACCAACCACCACCAATTACCACCGCCATCAACGGCAATCATATACCCGAATCGCAACAACGACAACAACCCCAAGTTCAATGGAAACCGATGAGCCGCATCTCTCCCCGCTGCGGCGATTCACCTCGGCCGTGCGCTGGAGCTGGTACGCCATCTCGCTCAGCTGGGGCGGGATTGCCGTGCTGCTGCACCAGACCCCGCACCAATTCACGGGGCTCAACACCATCGGCACGATCGTCTTCATCGCCAACCTGGTCATCTACGCCCTGATCACGGGGTCCTTCATCTTCGAGGCGCTCAGCCCCAGCCCGACCACTGGCAAGGCCGCCTCGGGGCCCCCGGACTTCCGGACGCGCTGGCTGCACATCCAGCAGCTGACGGACCTGTACTTCATCCCGATCTCACTGCTGGCTTTTGCCGCGATCCTCTTCGGGGTCTCCTACTACGGCACCCCGCACTGCGGCCGGTGGCTGGTTTTGACGCTGCACGCGCTGTTCTGGGTGTACACGGCCGTCTCCCTGATCCTGTGCATCGTGCTGTCGTGGATCATCCCGCACACGCACACCACCCCCGAGAAGCACTACCCGATCGTGCAGATCCTGCCCTTCTTCCCGCCGATGCTCAGCGGCACGATGGCGGGCATCCTCGCGCCCAACCAGCCCGCCAACCTGGCCTTGCCCATGCTCGTCGGCGGCACCACGATGCAGGGCCTCGGCATCCTGATGTTCTTCGTCGTCCTCGCGCAGACGGCGCACACCCTCACGCGCAGCGGCCTGCCGGAGGGGAAATTCCGGCCCGAGATGTTTATTGCGGTGGGCCCGCCGTGCTTCACCATCATCGCGTGGTACGGCATGGCCTCGGCGGCGCTCGAGAAGCTGCCGGATTATTATCTCAGTAAAGCGAGCAGCGTGCACACTGCGGATGTGCTGTATATCCTGGCGGTCGTGGCGGGCGTCAGTCTGTGGGTGCTGGCGTTCGTGCAGTTCTGGCTCGCCGTGGTGAGTATGGTCGAGGCGATAATCCGCCGGTTGATTGCGTATGAGTTGAATTGGTGGTGTATGGTCTTCCCGTTGACGGGGTTCGTCCTGTGTACCTGTAATCTGGGCCAGGCGTTGAATTCCCCGGCCATTCTGTGGGTGGGCTCCGCCATGACGATTGGGCAGGTCGCCCTGTGGTTGGTTATTTGTGGGTGTCAGATTGTGGTTTGGGTGCGACGGGGGTGGTAGTCCTCGTTGCTGTTTGTTCTGGTGCTGGGTAGACAGATTCCTTGGGGTGAAGTGATGTATAATGATGTATATAAAATGGTGTCCTGTTCGTGATTGGCATAGTTGATAAACATATAATATATATACCTTAGTACTGTACCCTACGAAACGTATCCGTCACGGGCAATAATAGTATCACGTCAATGGGTCAGCACTATTAAAGTCCACAGGCTCGCAGTGCAAGGACTAACATGCTACCTGGTAGGTTGAAGATGCAATATGCACGAGTGTAGGTACTCCGGGCTGTACAGTACTGTCTCATGTGGTCTGGTTTCGTGACCTGTTTGTCCTGTGTTTCCTTTGTTTCCTGACCGAATCCCAACTTCTTCATCTTCCTATGATCTCCTTCTCCTTCTCCCTCTTCTTCTTCTTCTTCTTCTTCTTCTTCTTCTTCTTCTTCTCCTCTGAACCCTCACTTGAAAGTCTGCCTCGCCTTCCCTCTATCAGCGATCCTATCCAGCTCATTCCACTGTTGCCATTTACTCTTCGCACGGACAGACACCTGCTCGAGGAGAGACATATTGGATTAGACAACGCTCGCATACGTGGCAGAAAGGGAACTCACATCATCAACCTTGGCCATCGCCGTGAATACGCTGTATACAGTCAGTCATCCTCAGTTTGATGCACTTCGACCTGAACTCTGAAAACGTAATGTACCCTTGACGGACCGGAGCCTTGAATCTCTCAGCCACGGCTTTGACCCTCAGCGACATGTGTTTGGGCCACACTTGCTTGGGAGCCTCTTTGTCTGGCTCCTTCGGGGCATCGCCCTTCTGTAACAGCCATATACACTCGGATTTCATCGCCTCTCCACCCCTCTTCCCCCCTTCTGGCATATTCCAGTGCGGTGGTTCCCTTGACATCCTTGAGATCCCCTCGGGCACCGCTATCAAGCAGAAGTCGCACGATTTCCTCCTTGCCGCTGGCCGCCGCCGCCATCAACGGGGTTGCATAAAGCGCATTTCGTGAGTTGACGTGGGCCCCGCGGTGGAGCAAAAGTTGCACCACGTCTCGGTGACCGAGCAGAGCAGCCAGAAAAAGGGAATTGGATCCTTGTGCGCCTTTGCTGTCTACCTCCACGCCAGCATCGAGGAGGAGACGTACAACTAGTTCAAGGCCCCTCCTAATAGAGCGAGGAATTGACGCTCTATGTATTGGTTCTGCTTCCTCGGCTTCGCTTTCATCTTTATCCTCGTCTTCATCTTCGTCTTCGTCTTCGTCATTTTCAGACTTGCCTTCCCCGTCTTCTCCGGAATCTTCTTCCTCTCCGTCCTCTTCTTCCGACTCGTTTTCGGGATTACTGGAGTAGTCTTCAAAGAGGTTTTCTATCCCCAGCTCCTCGTCCTCAGATTCCATGTCCACCAGAGGACCGGCTGCCTAATGAATTGCTTTTCGTCCCTTTGAGTCCCGTAAGTCGGGATTGGTGCCAGCATCGAGAAGGAGGTGCACCATGTCCACTTGTCCGAACACCGCCGCATGCATGAGCGGGGTCCACCAAGAGGCGTCTCGGGAGTCGACATTCGCCCCCGCGGTAAGAAGCTGCTGTACAATCTTCTTGAATCCCTGGCGCGCAGCGAGGGATATTGGAGGGATGCAATCCTGGTCCCCAAATTCGAGATTCGCCCCAGCTCGGAGGAGGAGCGTCACCCCCGGCACATGCCCGTTGGCGCACGCGTACGCCGGGGGGGTGATTCCGTCTCGATCCCGCACGTCGACACTGGCCCCGGCTTGGAGGAGGAGCTCGACTATCGCCGTGTGTCCGGCTTCCGCCGCGCGGGACAGGGGCTTGACCTTCAGTCGATCATTCTCGTCAAATCGAGCGCCAGCCTCCAGCAGTAGCCGCACCTCCCTTCGATGCCCTAGTGCGGCTGCCATCGCCAGCGGTGTTGCCCCCGACCTCACTCTCGGGTTCCTCTGTACCCCGGCCTCAAGCAATAACCGGGTGGCCGTGACGTGTCCTCGAGCGGCGGCCAAATGCAGCGGCCTCCAGAAATCCGGCCCGTCCGCCTCCAGGTCCTCTTTCCTCTCGGCAGAATGCGCAGCATCACCACATCGTCATTGCTGGCCGCCCAGTGCGTGGGGGTCCAGGGTCCGTGGGGTCGGGCTCCATGGGTTCGAAGCGCACGCAGCGGGTTGTGGAGGCTGGAACCGCTGCTGGCTTGGGTTCCACTCTCGTAGCTCCCACTGCTCGTGTCTGACTCCAATTCCTCGCTGTATGAATACTGATGTGAATCCTTCGTCTTCTGCCGGAGCTTTTTCCACCACCCTCTATCGCTGGGGTGGCCATATAGTTTGTCCCACGCTCGCCACGTCTCGTCGTCGTATTTGATCGGCCACCCCCCGGGGCTCACATCCAGAGCCACCGGATTGTCGTTTCCAGGTTGTGCTCAATCGCAAATTGCAACGGCATCCATCCATTGGGCGTCGGACTCACATACGCACGGCCGTTCTTCCCCAGCAGTCGATGGGATAGCCCTCATCGTTCCTGATTCTTGGCTTGGGTGTCCAGAACTTGCAGATCTTAAAACCTGATTCATGTCTGCTATATATAATAGACCACACTCAGAGATCCTCAATTCCGAAGCCTTAAAATTACCCTACTATATCTGTTAGAGTCACTTTCTGTAGTATAGTTGTAATCAATGTTGATGATATTGTGCTTTGCGTTGTTGAATTCGATGCAGTAATAAAGAAGATTCATTGGCCTCCTACGGTGCCCAGATGCCTTCACAATCCAAGTGTGAGCTGGTAGTCATCTCTCTCACTTCCTTCATGCCAGCTCCCTAGATTACTTCCTCCCTAAAGCTCGTCTGCAGATACCACGCATGAGCTATAATTAAATCGCCAGTTCTCACCCCCTCTACTATAGTTCTACTGCGACATTTGCAAAACACCAACCAAATACCCAAACCTACTAAAATCCACGCCAACGACCGCTTCACTTCACTTCCTACCCAGCTACAACACCGCAACCATCTCCTCCCTCGGCCCCGACGCAGTCGACCCCGTCGCCACGAGCACGCGCCTCCCCTCGCCATCCTCCCTCCACTTCAACGGCCCCTCCGGCAGCACCACCGCTCTCTCCTTCCCCAGAACCTCCAGCAACCCCGCATCCAAATCCGCCCGCATGCCATGCACCACCTCGAACCCCCCGCCAAACTGCAGCGGAATACTCTCATGCTCCACCAGCCCCGCCAACGCAGGGAGCACCTGGCCCGGCGTCAGGATCACCAGCTTAGCGGCGGTGACCGGATCGACGAATTTCTTCATCACGCCCCAGATCGTGCTGAAGTAGCTGGGCGCGTTGCAGATCTGTCCCTCAATTAGCTGAGCCACGAGCTAAGTGCCCCCCACCACGCTGCCAAAACTGCACCACACTTCAGGAGCTCTACCCACAACCAGAACCAGGGTGAAACGGTGAAAGGGAACGTACGAAGATCGTCTCAATCGTCTCCGGATAACACGTCGCCAGGATCCAACTAATCTCCTTTGCGAAATCCCGCAGATTCCACGCCTGCTTGAGGCTGATCGCCGTCGCGTCGACGAGGTAGATGCTCTTGGTCACGGGCGTGCCGGCGGCGGCGGTGCACAGCGGGAGGATGAACCGCGTGAGCGTGTCGAAGAAGGCGCAGGCGCGCTGCGCCATGTCCGGTGCATTCTTGTCGGTCGGCGAGCGCGTGCGGCGCCAGTGGTGCACGGCGTCGGCGTCGAGGTGCGCGATGTCCAGGAAGAGGATGGGGAGGTCGGTGCGGGTGCGGCGGCCGGTCCAGTGGGGGTACTTTTTGCTTCTTGTTAGTATGGCTTTAAGGAGGGGGGGAAAGGGCGGGGGTGGGTACGAGTTTGCGCGTGGCTTCGTAGTCGTCGATTGAAATGGTGTTGTAGACCTCGATGATGGATTTGTCGGTGCGGATGCGCGAGGCGGACTCGTATTGTTGGAGGGCGGTGGTGGGGTCGTTTTTGCGGGCTTGCAGGAAGCGGCTGGGCTTGGTCAGTGTTTGTATTCGTGATGGAGTATGAGTGTGGTGAGGGAAAGGGGGGGAGGGCACAGTAAGGTCAGGTCGTCAGTTAGACCGTCCACGACATCCCCCGCTTGTAGCCCCTGAGGCCGGTCCAGTAGCCCTCGTTCCGCGCAGAGGGCCTTGAAGCTGGCCAGCGCCGCCGGGTCGGTTTCCGGGGGCGCTGTGTCCGGGGCGAGACTTGGCATGACGGCGGTGGTTTTGGTGATTCTTGATGCAACTCAAGGGGGTAATTGATCAAAGGGGAAAGTCAAAAGTGAGAAAGTGATAGCCTGGGAGAGACAGCGCCTAACTTAACAGTCAGCTTGGCTAGCCAGCTAGCGGCAGAAAAAGGAATGAATGTTTGCTGGACGGGTCGAATCACCGACGCTGCAGGCTTATCTCAGCCATGGCCAGGCCACGGCGTCTATTACGGCAATTCGGGGGTTGGAACTTGGACAAGGTTCGTCCGCGGCATGCAGATCGTCGATCCTAGCCCGGGAAAGAGATCGCGAATCTCCCTTCAGCGGATAAGTCATCCCGATAGTATAGTAAGTTAAGAGTATAAATGTCAACTTATCCATGACATCAACAATGGTTCATGGGAAGTGGATCCCTCCCGTGGAGCCCCTCATCAACATCACCGCGACGCAACCATGGTTTGTCCGCCTGTCAATGCGGTTCCCTCACCCCGAAAATCCTCACAGATCCCCAAGTACCCTTCGGTCTGACCCTGTTTTCGCTGCAGATCATGATGACCCGGCTGCTCGGTACCCAGATTGGAGACGATGTGCCATTGGCGTTGAGGGTCGAGTTAGGGCTGGGGCAGTCGATGACGGGATCGTTGGGGCGCCCGAGCAGCCGCGCGGACTATAAGGCCGGGGGGGATGCTGGGGGACACCCGATTGTAGTTTTGCTATTGTACTTCCATATTCATACGGAGAAATCACAATGATATCGATAGCACCCTTCCCCGACGAAGACCAGTTTTCCGTCCTCGTGCCCCGCGACACCCCCGACCTCCACGGCTTCTGTCACGGCTACCCGTTACGCCGACACAAGGCAGAACACAAGGCCAACGAGGGCTCGCTGCAGCTGCGCGCCGACTGGGAGAAGTACATTGGACCGATCGAGCGATGGGGCTCGTGTAATCCGTGGGAGGGCCACTTTGGGGCCGTGGTGTTGCCCTGCTGTCGGCCGGAGCGGATGGCCATTGTCAATTACATCTTCGAATGTAGGTTGCCGTCTGTTGCGAAAAGAAAAGGAAAACAAGAAAATCGAAAGAAAGAAGGAAGGAAGGAAGGAAAAAGAACCCAGCTGACCCTATAGACGCCTTCATGTACGACAACGTAGTCGAGTCAGCCGCCCAATCCACCGTGAGTACACCCTGCTGCTATCCACTACATCGACTAACTGTCCAGATAAACGCACACGCCGACGACATCGCCCTGGATGAGACGGAATACCGCACGGTGCGCTCCGTCACCGGCACGAAACAGGTGCAGTCCAAGATGCTGCTGGAGCTGTTCGCCCTCGACCCGGCCTGCGCCCAGGTCGTGCTCGATTCGTGGAAAACCATGATCGACACCACCGCGACCAAGGACAAGACGCGCGCGTTCCAGAACTGGGAGGAGTACGTTGACTATCGCATTATCGACACGGGAGCGCCGTGAGTCCAGCACCACTCCTTTTCTTATCAAAACCACTGACAGCAGCAGATTCGTCGACATGCTCATGCGCTTCGGGATGGGGTTCGTGCTGACCCCGGAGGAGCAAGCCAGCATTGAGCCCGTCGTGCGCCCGTGCTACGCGGCGCTGGGCCTCGCCAACGACTACTTCTCCTTCGACGTCGAGTGGGACGAGTTTCAGCACGCCGAGGAGACGACCATGACCAACGCCGTCTGGCTGTGCATGCACTGGCACGGCGTCGACGTCCCCGCGGCCAAGGAGATAGTGCGCCGGGTCACGAACAACTTCGAGCGGGAGTTCCAGCAGCGCGTGGCTGAGTACGTCGCTGGTGATGGACGCGAGAACCGGAAAGTGCAGGTCTACCTGCGTGCTTTGGGGTATCAGATTCCCGGCAACGTGGCGTGGAGTCTGCGGTGTCCGCGGTACCATCCGCATCTCGTTGAGGAGGCCGGGCGGTTACTTCAGCAGAGTATGCAGACTGCGTCGGATGAGGGATGTGTGGCGCCGGTGCAGGTGCAGGCGAAGCGCGCGAGTGTGTCTGAGGAGAGCGAGTCGAGCGAGTCGTCGGTCTGGTCGGGCCCGAACTCGCCGCGCTCGTCGATCTCGTCTGCTTCGGAGGAGGAGGAGGCGCGAGAAGTTGAGGAGGTCAAGCTGGGAGCTGAGGTATCTTCGTTGCCCTGACTAGCTACCTGAGATCGACAGGCTGACACCGTGCTAGCATCTCCTCAACCCAGCCGAGTACATCGCCTCGCTGCCGTCCAAGGGCGTGCGCGAAGCGTTCATCGACGCCCTGAACGTCTGGCTCATGCTCCCCGATCGACAAGTGAAGCTCCTCAAATCCATTGCCAAGACCCTGCACAACGCCTCGTTAATGTACTTTGCCTCCCTCACCTCCATTTTCTTCATCGGATACATACTAATTCCGCAGGCTGGACGACATCGAGGATTCCTCCCCGCTCCGCCGCGGCCAGCCCGCCACGCACACCGTGTACGGGGTGGGCCCCACCATCAACTCGGCCAACTACCTCCTCCTGCAGGCCTTAGACGAAGTGCGTGGCCTCGATGACTCGGACGGACAGTGTCTGGACATCTACACCGAGGAGATGCGCAACCTGTTTACCGGGCAGAGCTACGATGTGTACTGGACGCGAGAGGCGGTCTGTCCGTCCGAGGCGGAGTACATGGAGATGATCCGGCAGAGTATGCCCCCCCTTGATTGTTATGTTACTAGGTAATTATCTGCGATAGGATATTGACATATGTCTACGAACAGAAACAGGCGGCCTGTTCCGTCTCCTCGCGCGACTGATGATCGCGACCGCGCCTGCACAGCGCAATCGGTACGTCTCTTCCTTGCCCTAAAAACCAAAAGATCTACAGTCGGAAAACTGATGAGTGCGCAGAGACATTCCCCTCCTGCCCTTGATCGACAAGTTAGGCGAATACTTCCAGATCCGCGATGATTATAAGAATCTTACTGAAGAGGTAGGCCCTCGACCTTCAATCGTGATGTGTGGAATGCTGATACTGAGGGGGATAGTATACCGACCAAAAGGGCTTCTGCGAGGACCTCGACGAAGGGAAGTTCTCCTTCCCGCTTATCCATGCGCTGCGGGCGCAGGAGCGGGAGAAGAACGGGCGGCTTTGGGAGATGTTGGAGCAGGGGCGGGCGGGGGGGACGATGGAGCTCGCGAGGAAACGAGAGGTATTGGATATCTTGCAGGACAGTGGGAGTATGGAGTACACGCGGCGGACGTTGCAAGGGATAATGGGGGAGATTCATGGGGGCATGGGGCGGGTGGAACGGGAGACGGGCGGTGTGAATTGGGTGTTGCGGTTGCTGGTGATGCGGCTGGAGGTTTAGTCTTTGGATAATGGCTAATGTCTGATGATTATGATACTTGTTCGGCGTTGTGCATGTTGCTTAGATATCTATCCTAATGAGGAGATCCATGGAATGCGTGGAATGCGTGGAATGCGTGGAATGCTTCTAGAACCTTTACCCCAGATTTGACTAACGAGACTGCAACCGGCGATGACGTAGACTCCCTCCAACCTGTCCAGCATTCCAATGACGTTATCACAATAGATTCACGATGCATTCAGCACCAAAGTCAGACAGAAAGTCAAAGGGTATATTACAAGTCTAGTCTATGATACACTCTATAAATAGTATGATTATATACAGCCCAAAAGAAATCCCAGGAACGCCGCAATGCAAAGGATCACGTCATACAGCTGCATCACATCACGCATTATTCGCGCAGGAGAAACTGCTGCCGGAGCTGTCGTCGTGGATGGCCACGCCCGACACCCACAGACCGCAGACGCAGATCGTGGCGCCGATGAGGAACAGCCCCACGTTGGCCATGGTCAACAGCGTCTTGCGCCACGAAGAGAAGTAGTTGCCGTAGTAGAGGTAGAGCCAGAAGACGCCGGGCAGGCCGAAGGAGAACCAACTCGCGAACAGGGCGCACTATGGTGTACAATTAGCATGTTTGCCATTGCGTGACAGGGAAGGGGGTAAAACATACCACCAAGCTGACGAGGTTGCTGAACACGGGGATAGCCTCGGCGATGACCCAGGCGATGATCCAGTAGCCAGCAGCCAAACCGATCCAGGCGCCGATTCCCTTGGCGCTGCGCTTGTGCATGACATCTGTGCCGCGGAACAGTCGGACGTAGACGTTCTTGATGGCGACGTGGCCCAGGACCACACCGGCGACGACAATGGTCGGAATGGCGACACCGTAGGCGACCTTGCGGACAACGGGGCCAGCGGAGCCCAGGGCGGGCGACTTGACGTCCTGGCCGGCGTAGCGGTAGATGACGGCGGAGGCGACGGTGTAGAGCACGATCTCAAACGCCTGCAGCATGCACAGCGACTTGGGGAAGTCCTTGGGGTTCTTCATCTCGGCGATGAATCCGAAGAAGGCCGGGTGGCCGCAGTAGGCGAAGCCGATGTTGGTCACGGCGGAAAAGCCGTTCACGAAGCTCGTCTTGCGGGTCAGTTGCATCGGTTCGTTGGAGGGGTGTTCGACGCCCACGCCGATCATGGTGATGAGCACCGCAGAGAAGATACTGATGAAGCCTGTGCACTGTTAGAATGGTTGCGATGGAGATGAGGAGGCGGGGTGGAAGCGTACAGGCAATGGCAAACCAAGAGACGTTCTTCATGGTGCGGGGCAGCGAGCAAATGAAGGAGAGAACCAGGCCGACCACGCCAAAGACCACAGAGCAGGTGCCGTGATTGGTGAGGGTGTTCATCATGACCGTGAAGGTGACCAAGTGACTACCGGAGGCGAACATGAAGAAGAGCAGCTGAGCAACCTCGATGAAGATGCGACCGGGTTTCCCCATCAGGACCTCGCCGGCGTCGGCCATGCTGTGAATGAAGGGATATCGCGCCCGGAATTGACCGATGACATAACCGGAGTAGGTGGCCACCACGCCCAGGCCGACAATGAGGATGATAGCAGGGATCAGGCCGACAGTAGCGACAGTTGAGGGCAGAGACAAGACACCCAACGAGACAGTCTCGGCAATCATCACTAGAGGTGGGTTAGAAGCTGCGGGACGGGATAGTGGATATCACCAATGACACATACAGAAGCCAGATTGCCTATCAAGCACGACATTAGTATCAATGGGTTGGATTATTGGCTAGACAGTGTACTTACCACCAATCCAAAGTCTTATATTGAACCTCACCATGCTCCGCGCCGAAAGGATCTTGCTCCTCGGCGGGAGCCTTGAGGTCGGTATCCCAGGCCTCCGGGTCCGATGGGACACCCGAGCCGTACTCGATATCTTTCACTTCCGGGGACGACATGGTGAATTTCCTGGGGGAGGGGGTGGAAATTGACACCGTGGGGGGGAGGTAAGAGGGGAAGGGGAGGGGAGGAGAGGAGGGGAGGAGAGGAGGGGAGGAAGAGAAGGAAGAGGAAGAGGAAGAGTCAGAGGAAAGGAAGCTATGAACAGATTCAAAGAATCAGGCCTTGGGCGTTTCGTTATTATACTGCAGCAAAAACCTAGCAAGGTGAAGCATGGACGCCTGGGCAGGTGGTTTTTGTTAGTTAATAGTTCGGGGCGAATAGCCAATCCCAGCCAATCCCAGCCTCGGGGAGTGCAATTTCTGCGGGCGTGACACAAACTTTGCTGGCCGCCGTTTGCCTCTCTCCCCGATGTCGGCCGCCTGCCCGGGCTGGTGCGACGTTTTCAATGCCTCATGGCCCACTCCTCCAGGAACAGAGGGCACATAAAAGTGGAGTGGTCGAATTTTCTACAGTTCTTCGGTGAAACCCAATAGTCACTTAGGATGATGCACTACTACTCCGGAGTATGCCACTAGATAGTGAAACTGATCGTGCATCTGGCGACGAACATGCCGCCGCTAATGTTGCATGGCATGACGATAGTTTAGCCGGGGGAAGCAAATAAGGTGTCTGGGGGAATCCGGGACCATACCAGACTCTGCAGGAGGCAAAAAGGCAAAAGGAAATTTCAACCACCGCATCAGGCCAGGCGGGCCCCCGGGTGGCAACTGGTAAAAAGCAAGAAACCAGTCAGAGGACGGAATAGGGCTGCCGGTGGCGCTGCCCTACCGACGGCTCCCAAACAGGCTTAGTCTTCTCGTGCCGCTTCCGAGTCGGCCGCCATACACTAGTCCCCGTCCGGCTTAGCGGCATCGATCCCGGGGCTGGGCGGCAGTACTCCGGGCCTCCGAGGGCCGGTCTCGCCCCGATCCTCTATCCCAGTCGGTCGGGGAAAGGCCACCAGATGTGCTTCCTCCATACAGCATCTCGGGATCAGGAGCACTCATGCCTAGCGCTGTCTGCAGCTCATTGTCCGGTGAAAAGCTAAAACAAGCATATTGCATAGTCTCATGTAGCTTGATTGCAGGGCTGACTCGGAATGACTCATGCGGCGTGACTCCCGCCTCCTATATCGGCCGGGCAGTCTGACTCAAGCCGGCAAACAGCTGTGTGTTCCAGACTCCAAGGCTTCAGCACTCTAGAAGGCTGTAGAAATCACCATCTCACCGCAAATGGTCGAGAGGTGCTGTCGTAGGGATGAGCTCCCCACCAAGTGGCTCGTTTAGCCGACGGTCTGTCTGTCTGGCTGTCACCGTTCCCGCGGGAATCAACCCGCCGCGACGGGCACCGTATGCTGTATTCTTCATCTTGTTTTCTTCCACCTCTGGGAATCATTGACTTCATACCAGTGGATGGATATACCTGTACAGCATGACCATCCATTGCAGCGATCCCAGTATCCCTCAGATATGCCATTGTAACCCAAAGACTACTGGGTGCCGACCTGCACCAACCTGGAAACTGGCGCACCGTCGCCGTCTCGCCTGCATCGAAATCTCCACATGACAGAATCTTCACCCACGGCATGTACCCGCGGGTAGCGACCACGTGGTGGTGCCAGTCGGCTTGTGGCAGCTCCTACATCGGAGCCCGGAGGTGGTTCTTCAGCCCGAAGGGCAAACCAGATCCGGATCGTCGTCAGCATCTGACAGCCGAACCTAGGGAGGGGGTGGAGATCGATCGGCAATCACAGGCTGTGGTCTGCTTCAATCTGGCCAATATTGGGTGCTTGAGCCGATGGATACGGCGAAGACGAAGCTTGATGTCGGGTGGACTGGGACTGACCAACCCAGGAACACATCTCAGTGCTGCTACTTTGCATGACAAGTTCGGCCAGGACACCGACTATCTTTTTGCACCAATGCCGGATGATGTTTAGTAATGATTGGGCTGATATGGGCATTGCTGGAGACGCTAGAGTCCAGGGTAACTCATGCTTACACTTGATATAGAGCGAGTCCGATCATGCTAAGGGTGACTTTCTTCAGAGATACTCTTTGTATCTGCTCGTGCACAGCCTACACACAATTTGTTCGCCGCGCTGCCCTCGCTGACACTAGCCAGGTGTGATCTCTACCAGAATTACATACAGAAGCTGTCAACAAGGGTACATGATGCAGCCAGAGCCACAGCCCAGCACTACCATACTCAAAAGCATTATCTAACCTGCTTTTCCAACCTTCCAACCAACCCAGATGGCAGCAACCACTTCAGCCAGAAGTGTCATACAACCTGCTATCATAACTGACCCGAACCATCCAGAAACAACAACCCAACCCGCTCCAGCCAACCGACTACTCCGACTGCCGATGGATCGAATCCCGCACCAGCTCCTGCAACGACTGCGTCGCCACGACGCCGATATCCTCATTATCCCGGCGCTCGTAGAGGGTGCCCCCCTCGGCCCAGATGCGCCGCAGGGTAAAGGTTGTCGCATGGGGGGCGCCCTGCTCCCACGCCTGGGCCTCGAGCCGCCGCAGCTCGTCCAGCGAGGTGTACTCGACCTCCCACTTCTGGCCGGTCTGGAACTCGAACTCGCGCAGGATCTCGTGCGGGGTGGTGGTGAAGGAGTTGAGCTTGAGGGCGCGGTACCGCGCCTGGTCCCAGTGGGTGAGCGCGTGGGCGACGAAGCGCCCGACACTGTGCATGTGCACGTTAGCCATCCAGCCACAACCCGGTACGACAGAGCAGTGACGCCCATCGAAGACCATCGAACCATCCCCAGGAAGGAAGAAACTCACTCCACCCGCGCACTGAAACTCACCCTCCCCTCCCCGTCGCCGACGACCACCGCCTTCCGCGCCTTCACATCCCACGACCCCGCCTTCGCCGCCTCCTCCGACCCCGCCGCGGCCAGGTAGAATGGATAATCCGGGTACGGGCCCGTGACGATGTAGGCGTACTCGAGGCGGTCGCGCAGCTGGGCCAGTGCCGCCCGCACCTTCAGCTTCTGCTGGTGCGGCTTCTCGTCCTTCGAGGCGGGGCCGTACTCGATGTCCGTGCCGTACTCGGAGGGGAGGAAGCGGCGGACGGTCTCAGATTCGGCGGCCAGGTGGATGAGCGGGATCTGGGCGGCGATGGCGGTGCGGCCTAATGCTGAGACGACGGTGTCGTATCCTATAATTTCATTAGTTTGGGTGGGTGGTGGGGTGGGTGGTGGGGTGTTCGATCAGGTGGATGTGTAGGAAGGCATAGTGCTGTGTAGTGTGTAAGAGGGTACAGTGTGCTGTGCAGTACAGTAGAGTCTACGGGAAAGGGAAAAAGGCAATACCAGCATAAGCCTTGCGCACTTCGTCCGCATTGCCCAAGTCACCCACCAGGATATCGACGCCCTGGCGACGCAGCTTGTCCAGCACCTCGGTCTTGGTCTGCAGGGACTGCGGGCTGGTGAAGATGGCGAAGCGGCCGAAGTGGGCCCGGTCGTCGAGCAGGGCCTGTGTGATGTACGAGCCGATGGCCCCGGTGGCGCCGAAGATAAGGATGTTGGATTTGTCGGACTTGTCGGACATTTTGATTGTGACTTGTAGGTGGAGTACACACAGTACGTAGGGGAGGAGTGGTGTTTTGGTGAATGCGAAGTGTGATGACACAATCGGTGAGGGGAAACTGAGGGGTTATTTATGACCAGGTATTGTTAATTATGCGAACCCGGCAATGCAATTACCCCGCCGGATCAAGATCCGCGATAAGATGACAACATCGTTGGAGAGGATAGCATCATAGTTAAGTGTACCAATCAATGGCTTCAAGTATTAGCATTATCATAGCTCATAAGAAAACAACATGCAATCTATATACTTTTCTCCTCTAACCCAATCATCTATTCTATCCACTTCATTATCATCAATATCTCATTTTGCTGGAGGGAAAGACTCAAGTAACTCAAGTGACATGCTCCTTCTCCTCCTCCTTGGGAATGCGCACGCACGTCACGGTGATCAACGCCGCCACCAGCTGACACCCCAGCGCAAACCACCAAATGGCCCGCAACCCCTGCAGCCCGACATCCCCGTCGGGGGTCTTGTCGACGCGCGTGCCGATCGCATCGGCCACACTAGTCAGAATCGCCGAGCTGAGGTTCTGGTTCGTCACCAGCAGACTGCCCGCACTGCCCTGGTACGAGCGCGCCACGTTGCTGGTAATGAAGATGGAGGCGGCGGCAAAGGCGAGATCGGGGCCGAAGGTCACCAGGGCAATGCCCGGAAAGGAGAGCGCCCAGTAGATGGTGTTGGCAGTCTGCGGGAGGAAGAAGGCCGGACCCAGCGTGAAGGCGAACATGGAGATGGTGTAGATGTAGTGGCCCGGGACCAGGTGCAGGGTGCGGCTGACGACCCAGGTTGCAAACACCCCGACCAGGGCGTTGGGGATGTGGTACAGCGCCACGGCGACGGGCGTCGCGTGCTGGATGCGCAGCCAGAACTGGATCGCGTAGAACTGCCAGCAGCCGAAGAACGACCCGAACCCCAGGAAGTAGGCGATCATCAGCGGGGTGAAGCCCTTCGTGCTCCACAGCCGGTTGGGGATGAGGGGTCGCACCACGTAGCGCTCGGTGATGAACAGCCCCACCAGCAGCACAATGCCGACGACCGTCAGGGCGATGGTGTACGGGGACCAATTGGTCACGCCGCCCTGCGTCAGGCCGAAGAGAAGGCACACGCAACCGCCCACGGCGAAGGCCGCCCCCAGGTAGTCGAATTGCTTGATCGAGGGGGCCTCGGTGCCGGCCACGTCGGCCACGGGCCGCAGCGGGGGAATGGCGAAAAAGGCCGCCACGGCACACAGTCCGGTGATCATGGCGTTGGAGCCAAAGATCCACGGGAGGTTGTGGAACAGAAGACCCCCCTGGATGGCTCCAAGGGAGAACCCGAAGGGCGCACAGGCGGCCATCGCGCTGAAGACGCGGTTCTTGCGGATGCCCGGCTTGTACACACGGCCGAGAATGCTCATGCTCCCGGACACCAGCACTCCAATGGCCAGACCCTGCATGGCGCGCACAATAAAGAAGAGGATGCGGCGCGAGGGGGAGAGCGAGAAGGCCCCAATCAGGTTCCATAGCGTGAGCCAGCCAAACGCCCCCACCATCAGCGGTCGAGGAGGCGTGAGGTCCGTCAATGAGCCGGAGACAACGACGGAGAGGCCGTTGGCCACGTTGAAGGCGCCCACCAGCCAGGGCAGCTCGGTGTTGCTGATGCCCAGGGCGGCCCGGATCTGGATCTGCGGAGCCAGCATGTCTCCCAGTAGAAAGGAGAAAAGCATCAGACCCACGGAGCAGACAGCAATCAAGAGAAGTTCGGCGCCGAAGCTGGATAACTCCGGAGGGACCCCCTGTCGAGCGGCCTTGGTGGCCTCGGGCGGTGGTGAGCCCGCCTCATCGGCATAGACATTGTCGCCGGGGTAAACGGCCGCAGAGGGACGACGGAATCGGGGCCCCGTGGCCGACAGCTCGATCGCTTCCTCATCATCGCTGCTGTCCTCGCGGGGCCGGGTGATTGTCTGGGGGAATTTCTTCAGCACATCGGTGGGGACGGCGACTTTGGGTCCCAGCAGAGGATCCGGGGTTTGTGCCCCCGTGGCCGGAGTGGATGCAAAGCGACTGCTCCCAACGCCGGATTGGTAATCGGAGAAAGAGGTGCGGCGCGACATGGCGGCCGATGACAGTCCAGACACAGGCTTATCCTCGACTGGACTGGGGGGTTGCGAATGATCGGGAGTGGGATATGGAGGTGGCATGGTGGAGGATGGAATTTTGCGTTGATTGTCACTTCATCGTCATGTTGGGGAGGGGGTGTTTGAGCAAGGAGGACTTTATAGGTGCTGGGAGCTCCGGAAAAGATCGTCCGCAGGCATGGCACAGCTGTACAGCTGGATTGCTCATTCTTTTTTGATGGTGGCCACCCTGACGCTAACGGTTCGAAATTTGCAGAGCTAAGCATCAATCCCTTGCGGTGGTTTGCGCGTCGCCAGACCCGGTGGATCCCTCCACCCACGGTTGGCTCCACGGGCCCTGGGACACACGAGACTTTAAATCAGTCCAAGGGCTGGACCCATCGGAAACTGGTTTCCTGAACAGAGGCATTGGTCGATAAGCGGTTGCCACTGCAGTCCCCGTGGGTCAAAGGAAGAGTGCAGTTGATAACGGGATGTGGTGGTAGCTTTGGGCATAAAGATAGATGCCTGAAGGGACTGGTGTACACCCTGCCTGTAAAGGAATGCACAAGTTACTGCTCGAGGGTCAGTCGGTCAGACACCGCAGGTAAGCAAGAGACACACCAGGTTGGAACCCACAGCTAGGCCGTGCAATGATCTCCCGATCGACAGAGCGAGGCAGCAGAGGCAGCAAAGGCAGCTTGAGGATCGTCGACTCGCTCAAAAAGGGACCGACGATCCAGGGACTTTGGCTTACCTTCATACTCGGTACTTAGTGTGCGAGACTGTGAACGATAAGTTAGTGTCCACAGAAGGGCACTGAACATTAAACATCGTATCAAATTGGGCGTGGGGTGGCTGGACCTACATAAGTAGTAAGTTATGTACTGTATACTATGTAAGTTGCAGCAGCGCTTAATGCTACCTAGTACACATACTTCCACTTCTCCCGTCGGCCCGACTCAATTGCCCTAACTCGACCTTTAACACCATCCCATCGGCAATCTACGCAGTCTATTATCTCTCGGACGAGGAATCCGGTCCGAACAATCGAACTGACCATGACCGGGTCAGGAAACGGAGATCGGTCATGCAACAGGCAAACCCGACCGTGGCAGAGTGAGCCGATGCCGACCGGGGAGGAAGCAGGCCGATGGCCGAGGGAACATCATGATACAGTACAATCAGTACAATGTATGTAGTAGGTACGTGGGAGTGTCAGCCCATTCCACCTCTCGGTGACGATGACGAAGAGTTGTCTGACTATCTTGGACCTGCTTCCACCTTGAGCAGATATCTAGAGAGAAGAATATACAGACAGACCGGAGTATATAAGCCACTGTAGTTCTAGGACGAACCCATGTCATTCCAGTCCAATCCTGATCCTGTAATCCTTCTGTGAGCACATTCGCAATCACATTATCACATTCACATCTCTCCAGTCCTGACAGCCCCTCCATTCCCCCCACCATCCCCGCTTCATCTCACCTCCAATCTCACCTTCAGCATCACCTCAACCTCACCCTCTCCATCCACCAACAAACCAACCAACCATGCCCTTCGAAGCAATCGGCATCCTCTCCATCGGAGAAATGGGCTTTGGCATCGCCCAGCTCCTCCGCGCCCACAACTACCGCGTACTAACCTACGCCGCCGACCGGAGGTAGAGTACAGTCCATAAACAGAACCCTCCCCCGCCCCTTGCCCCCCGATCAGCATCTCACCTCACCTCCCAAAACACAGTGAATCCACCCAACACCGCGCGTGGCTAGCCGACATCGAACTCCGGCCCTCCCTCCAGAACCTCATCGACGAAAGCGACGTGCTCCTCTCCATCGTCCCGCCCGCCGAAGCCCTCCCCACCGCCGAGCGCATCATCGCCGCCGCAACAGCGCGACACCTCGTCCGCGACAGCCCCTTGTACATCCTCGACCTCAACGCCGTATCCCCCGCCACGGCCCGGGAATTAGCCCAGCTCTTCAGCACCACCGCCCGACCGGACGATCTCCGCTTTTTGTCGGGGGGAATCATCGGATCCCCGCCGCATTTCACCAAGCATCCACACCATCACCATAACCATCACCATGACCATGCCAATGGTGGCACCCACGAGCCCGAAACCGAGGATCTGAAAGAAGGAGAGTGGAAAAAACCCGCCCTAGTAGTCTCCGGCCCTGATCCCCTCCCGGACGCCCCGCTCGCCACCGTCCTGAACATGCGACACGTCTCCGCCGAGATCGGCACCGCCGCCGCGCTGAAGATGTGCTTCGCCGCCCTGACGAAGGGGTTCACCGCGCTGGCGATCGAGTCCTTCACCGCCGCCGAGGGGTTCGGGGTGCTGTCCGAGTTGCGGGGGCTGCTTGGTGAGTATAAGCCTGCGGCGCTGGGGATGGCGGAGCGCGGGGTGGTGGGGATGCCCTCCAAGGCGTATCGGTGGGTGGAGGAGATGCGGGAGATCGGGCGGACGATGGAGGAGGGGGCCGGGTTTGGGCCGGATGTGTATGTTATGTTTCCCCTTCTTGTGTGTTGGAGGCAAAGGGGTAGGTGTGCTGACCGCGACAGGTATAATGGAATCGCGGAGGTATATCAGACGGTTGCCGACGATCCGGTTCTGGGGCTGGAGAAGCAGAAGGCCGGGGAGTTGAGACGGCGCGGGAAGACGGTGGAGGATGTGGTGGGCTGTTTACAGGGGAGTCTGAAGGGGAAGAAGACGGAGTCGTGATTCGGCTTCGGTGGTGTCTGTATCTGTAAGTAGAGCTGTGTGAAGACTCATAGTACAGCTAGAGGCATATCTTTTACTAGTGATTCAGCCAAACAAAGCTTGATGATCAATTCCTGCGTGGATTGTACTATACTTGAGACAGTCGACATACAACCGGCATCATTGAATTAAACGAACGACCTAAAAGTGTACACGAAGAGAAAAACGGTCTATACTGCGGCGAACAACCCCCTCATTTCCTTCATCGCGGAGCTAAATTCACAAGACAGCCAGGGCGAGGATGCCGACGACGGCACCGAGGAGAGAGCCGGGGAGGACACGGCCGGAGCCACCGGTGAAGAGGCCGGAGGAAGAGGCGGCGGCAGCGGAGGTGCCGGTGCTGGAGCCGGAGCTGGAGCCGGAGCTGGAGCTGGAACCGGAGGAGCCGGAGCTACCAGCAGCAGCGCTGGCGGAGGGGGTCAGACCGGAGCTGGCGGAGGGGCGGAAGCCGGGGTAAGTGCCGTTGCCGTGGCTGCCCCAGGTGCCGTTGCGGCCACCCCAGCTGCCAGAGACGGAGCCGGAGCCGGAACCGGAGCCAGAGCCGGAACCGGAGCCAGAGCCAGAGCCAGAGCCAGAGCCGGAAGCAGAAGCGCCAGAGCTGGAGCCAGAAGAGCCGGAGCCGGAGGCAGAAGCGCCAGAGCTGGAGCCAGAAGAGCCGGAGCCAGAGGCGGAAGAGCCGGAGCTGGAAGATCCAGTAGTCTTACCAGAGAAACCGGTGGCAGAGGCAGAAGACGAAGAAGCAGTGGAGGTGGCGGAAGAAGTAGAGTTCTTGCAAGACAGGTCGTACAGAGGAGTGGTGCTCAGGGTGCTACCGACAACGCCGAAGCTAGGGTTGGGGGTGGCACCGTCGGTGTCCTGGAGGATGTACCACCAGGTGTTGGTGTTGCCGAACAGAGGGCAACCAACCTCATCCCAGTAGATCTTGGCGTTGGCAGCGCTGGCGACCGCATCACCCTCAGAGTCACCGCTGACGGGCCATCCGGTCTCGGTCATCCAGACCTCCTTGCTGCCGGCGACGGCCTTGGTCTTCTCCCACGATTCGAGGAAGAGCTGCTTGGCGTTGCTGATGTCGTTCTCAAAGGTCGACTGCCAGAAGGGGTAGCCATCGAAACCGAGCCAGTCGACGGCCTCAATGACAGCCGAGTTGGAGGTGTTGGTCCAGGAGTCCCAGGTGTCGACGTGGCCGATGGGAACATCAGCCAGTCCGGTGCCGGCGATCAGGTCACGGACCTGCTGGATGTACTCGACGAGCTCGTCGGGGTTGACACCGACACCGGCAGAGGCCTCAACACCCTCGACGGAGTTGCGGTAGAGATCCTCACTGCCGACGGAGATACCGACAACGAGCTTGGTGAAGTCCTCACCGTACTCGGAGATGGCGGACTTAAGGGCAGCGAGCTCGTTGGCCATGCCACCACCGGAGGTCCACAGACCGAGCAGGAGGGAGGTGTCCTGAGCGATGGCAGCGGGGATGGCCTCGATGGGGGTGTTGGTGCTGTAGGCTTGCTGTGGGGGGGAAGTGGGGTTAGTCTGGTGGTCCCTTTCAAGTGCAGCAGAAGTATACCTACGATCATGGTGTAGAGACGAGCGCTGGTGAAGCCACCGTCAGTGCCAACCAGACCCTTCGCGGCCTTGAAGGAGGCCTCGAAGTCGGCCTGGAACATGGAGCTCTCATCGGCCTTCTTGTTGCCGTAGTTGAAACCCTGGGAGACAGCCTCGGCAGTAGAGGCCGCAAGGGCCATGGCAGCCAAAGTGTTGTAGTGCATGGTGATGGTGGTGTGATAGAGATTGACGAAGGTGAGTTAAAGTCGTAAAGAGTGAGTGAATGCAAATGAACGGGAGTTGGAAAAGAATGACAAGTCCACGTTCAAAGAATGATATAGGGAGAGACAGAGGGAGGGGAAGAGGATGGGGGATGGAGAGATGGAGAGATGGAGAAAGTTGCAAAAGAAGGGCAGGGCCAGACAGATAAAAGGGCCAACGGCAACGACAAAGAGCGGGAGAAAGCAGTGCCCGTGGGTGGGTGAATGTGAATGAATTGCTTGGGTCTAGAACAGAGCCCTCAGTAAGACCGGCAACAAGTGAAAGGCCTAACAGCCCTAGTCCCGCTCCAACGGGGCCACACACCACTGAGAATAGCACATTGCGCACCCAATGAGGGATTAATTGTGCCTGTTGGCCCTGGAATCTTCATTGCCGGTGGATCTCAGTGGATCTGCCTATCCAATAATCAGTCCCTCCCAAGACTGAGTGACAAGTCTTCCCCGTGGAGCCACAGCCGCAAATGAGGGTTGGCTGCTTGGTGCAGTGGTCCGGAGATGACGACCCTCCTGCTGTCCATCCATGTCTCTCTCTTCGCTCTCTCTTTGCTCTCCCTCTTTTTCTGGCTGTCTGTCTCGTCTGCCCCTGATCAATTGAAGATTAATTTTAATTCAATTAATTAATTAATTCATGATTGCACCAAAGGATCTGGTCTGGTCCATTCTCCAGGGGTTCTTCACTGTGTTCTCGAATCTTTTTTTACTACTGTACTGTACATCTCCCGGTCGCACATCTCTCCTGTCACTTCGTTTCCCCTGACTAGTCACTCGAGTACAAGTCATCAAACCCCCCGTCAGCACAACCTTCCTGCCTGCAGGTACCGTCCAATTTCGCTGGGTCTAATTCTGGAACGCCAACAACGCACGGAGGCTTGCCCACCACCGGCGATCTTTACCTCCAGCTGGCAGGCGTCTTACCCGCTCCGATGATCGATCACTCCCCTGACTTACACATAACTTACTCGTCCAGCCTCAAGAGGAGTCCAAGGCAAGTCGGCCGGGTTGCCTCATGACTGACGTCAATCGTAGAATAATCTGACGGTCGAGTCGTGCATCTTTTTCCTCTTGTTCGTCTTGATCGTCGTCGCGTGGTGAGCAGTACAGTTGTTGCATCGCATCGTCGCCTGTGCTAAATAAAGTCCCCCTCCGTACTACCACCCATCTAGACCACCATCTTCAACGCATATTATTAGCATCGGTAGATGAACAATGGTCGGCCACTATTGACACTAGATCAGGGGAGGGGAGATGCATGGACCCGGGGGGATCACGTGCACGCCGGGCATGTCGGGCGACGGAGCGGCTGCCGTGTCGAGGCGGTGCTTAGATTGCAGGAATCTCTGCTCGACCTCGGGGCTCTATTCGAGGGCATTGGTTTGTTTATACATGCTGAATGTTACAGTACATAATCTTGTGGTTATAGCCACCGAGGCTATACGCAGTACTCCGTAGACACACAGGTGCATTAACCCTAGCAACCCGATAGCTTACTCAATATTCAAACTGGCAGGCAGTTCTTCGTAAGCCAGACGGGGCCGACAAACCTTGAACGGTGCTATTGAGGTCATCTCAGAGACATGTCTTAGCAGGCTATTCATAGACCCCCTCATTTCCAAGGTTTTGCCCCCTGGAGCAAAGATGCGCCACACACGCCACAGCGCAAGCCAATCGGACCCCACCGCACCGAGGAAGAGTGGGTACAGAAGGCGGTCGACGAAAGCTGCGCGGCAGAATGACTCAGCAGTCAGGCTTTTCTTGCTCAATCCGTGGTTTGTCAGCATCCAAACCGAGGTTCGAGTTTTGGACAGTGAATGTGCAGTGGCGAGAACCACCAGTTTACCACCCAAGGTTTACCCTCCGCAATCGGCCGCGTGGATTATCCCTGCAATAGTTGGGTCAATGGTCCAGGTACTATTGGTTCTAAATGAGGAGTTGCTGGTCGGAGTACGGTACAAGGGCCAGTGCTTCTGTGCGCGCTCTATGGGGTCCCCAAGTATGCAGTATAGTTATATATTGCATTGGCAGACAATGAGACAAGAAGTGGACGCTTTATATTTACGATATATCTTCCGCCATCCAGTAGCATGCTTGACAGATACCAGACATGCCTCTGCACTTCGAGAGGCTCATCAAGCACCACCTAAAATCATCATCGCAATCAAACCACCTCCAACACCAGAACCCAATCCTCATGCCCCTGTCCAACCGGCGGCGTGAACGTTCGCACCGAACCCTGTCCGCACTGTGCGTACTCCAACGAGGTATACGTCTCATCCAACGGATCAAACCAACTCGCGCGCACTTGACACGAGCCCAACCCCCCGGTATTAACCTGGAACTCCTGGCCCGTGGGCGTATACACCAGGATCCAATCTCCGCCACGATCTCTGGTTGCGGTGACCCTGGCATCATCCGCTCCCACCTCCCCGACCAGCAGATCCTGCGCCGGCACGCGTCGGAAATAGCTGTCCTGGCCCCGATCTATCACCACCTTCTGGATCCACTGCATCTGACTGGACCCCGGGAGCACGAGGTCCTGCTCCCAGTCATCGCCTGGTCCACTGCCATCCGAGGCGTATAATCCGGGGATGGCGATTTGTTGCACGGCGTTGGCACCGTAGGTTAGGCCTGCGGCACCGGAGAAGACCTGTCCCGTAGTCAGTATCTTAGAAGTAGACTACAAGTACACTAACAGTCACAGGAACTAGGGACGGGACAGGAAGCATGGGGTAGGCTGACTAACCGCCTGCCAGCTCCCGATACGCACGTCGCTGGCATTCCAGTAGAACGAGTCCGGGTTCCCGTCATTGTACCGGTGCTCGTAGTGCGCCTCGTTGTCGAGGACCGGTCGCGGTTTGCTGCCAGGTTGCTGCTGGGAGGGGTTTCCCCCCACGTACATGCGCTCGACAGGCTCCCAGCCCCGTCGACAGTTCCACCACGGGATCGGAGGGTTGGGCGCGTAGTCCGTGTGGCCGGACTGGCTGGTGTCCAGCGTGAGCCAGCTGCGGTTCCCGAAAAAGGCGTGCGCCAGGGCGATGGGACCGCCTGTGAACCATTGGTTGGTGGGGTGGATGGTCATCAGGGGTTGCCACTTGTCTGCTGCTGAGGATGGTGATGATGCCGATTTAATGGCTTGTCTCTCGCCGGCCACGATTCCCTCGGCCAATGCATCGTAGACAGGCGACCAGTCCACCACTTCATGGGTCGGGGAGACTCCTCCTCGGAGGTAGTCTGCCTTGACAGCGGTCTTGTTCTGCCAGTAGGGGTTGGTGTCGGCCACGAGGGTCTTGGGAAGGTAGGGGTACCGTTGGCCAATGAAGTGGCCGAAGGGGGAGGCCGTCGTTGAATTGAGGACGCTGGCGGAGTTGTCGCTTCCATGCACGAACTTGCCCCACGCGGGCACCAGACAGATCCGGATGCCTTTACTCCAAGCCAGTGCGACGATTGAGTCGATATAGGCCCAGTACGCCTCATTCGGCCGGGTCACATCTTCGTCGATGAACGTTAGGTCCCCGTTGCGGTTGGGATTGGTGATCCCTTCCTGGGTGAAGCCGACAGCGAGAACGACCGTGAATCCCTTGCGTGCGCGGTCGGACAGGTAGGTCTCCGCCTCGCTGTGGTTGAGCCGGTGGAATAGCAGCCACGCGGTGTCGGCCTGCCAGAAGAATGGCTTGCCGTTGGACTGCTGCAGGAATCGGCCGTCCGGTGAGGGCGTAATAGCGTACTCGGCGGGGACCTGCCAGGCCACCACTGCGTGTATGATGTGAAGAGTGAAGTGGAGAAGGGCAACTCTGAGCATGATGGGCTATGTTATCTTGATGCTGGCAGTCATTGCGGTGACAGTGTTGCAGTAGACTTGGGAGAACCTCTGCTTTTCGACCATTGGAATTGCTGCATTGCATCATGTTACAATCTCCTGGCAAGCGAGACACATGCAAAGGGAAATCCCACCAATTGCGAATTGCTGGAGACATGCTGCAAGATGCTTCAGGTTGACCGGACTGGGTACTATATTCGGTGGTCCGGCTAAATCCAATTACCCCGCAATTTGAAGACCCTCGTTAGGGCACGGCCTGTACGCAAGGAGGAGTTCTGCCCTGACATCATGCCAGTCTCTCTCTCTCAATCAGCCTATTTGAACCTGCTCACTAAGTCCCCTGCATGAGTGTTGGACCGCCTCACGAGAATCTCCACCAACCATAGAAACCAAGAGTTATGAATCTCCCCGCATCAATGCTCGGGGAAAGTGCTGTTGCGGGCTTTTCTCAGTTGAAATACTACCGGGGGATACCCTGTCTACCATGAGACATGGTTCCTCAGAAAATCTCACATTCAAAACGCTGACACCTGTCCATCACGATGAAGTCTGCGCTTGGGGTGCTCATTCTGGTCCTGATCACCAGCCCTGCAGTCTGCGCGCCGTCGCGGCGATCACAGGCCCTGTTGAAGAAGTTCTCTTCGCTAGTGATCTTCGGTGACAGCTACACCGACGACGGCGTCTATTCGTACACCCCACCGGTGGCAGCGCAGGTATGAATTTGGCTTCTTCACAACCACCGCAGCCCAGAGACAACCACTCACCATCAGTACCACAAACAGTCAACCGACGAATGGGACGGAGGCCGCGCATGGCCGAGTTACGTCCAACAGTACACGGGGATCAACCTCTACGACTACGCCGTGGCAGGCGCGGTCTGCGACTCCGTCGAGGCCGACACCTCGCGCAACGGGGTGAAACAAGACCAGCTACCCAAGTTCCTCGCCGACAATGAGTATGTCAACAAGACCACCGGCCAGACCGCTCTCATCAACCGACCCGCCGAGACAGTCTACGCAATCTGGATTGGCACCAACGACTTGGGCCCCGGCAGCTTTCTCACTGAGGAGCAGCCCGCCGGTATGGCCCTGACCTACTTCACCGACTGCGTGTATACCCAGCTCGACCGACTGCACGCTGCCGGCGCCCGCAACTTCGTGCTGATGAATCTCATCGCGCTGGAGCTGGCTCCGGAATACGCCACCCCGCAGAACGGGGGCCTCCCCACGGGGGAGTACTGGACGGACAAGTCCACGTACGACCCGAACATCACGCAGTCGAGCGAGAAGATGCGCCAGTACTCGACGCTGGTGAACGCGGTGTTCAACTATCAGACGCCGTACGAGGTGCAAATCGCCCAGCGGTATCCGCAGAGTAGCTTTGCGCTCTATGACACGCATGCTTTGGTAAGGATGGCCGAGTTTTGGAAGTGAGTGAGGCAGGCTGACATATCACGCAGACGACGGATATCTGGGAGAACCCGTCCCAGTACCTGAACGGCACTGCGCCGCTCAACGTCACCAGCTCGATCTATCGGTGTGGCTCCGCCTGCAGCACAAGTGCGGTCCGGGACAGCTATATGTGGTGGAACGACCTCCATCCGTCTGAGCAGACGGATCGCATCATTGCGCGGGAGTTTGTGAATGTGGTCAAGGGGCAGAGCAAGTGGGCCAAGTATTGGAAAAGCTAGACGGACGAATATTGGAACACTGCAAGCGTGGGCCTCGACTTATACTTCTGCCCGACAAATCGTAGCAGTGCGAATGTAGGATATGCAACATGGAGGGCTTGCTCTCCTTGCTGTCAAATCAGTCCGTAAGGACAGATACAGATTGGAGATTGAGCGGGCCAACGAAGGGGAAGGATAAATAATCTCCCCCTTTTTCGTCTTACCGTTCCGGGCGGACCGGCCCGGAAGGAAGCAACCATCATGATAGCCATATACTCTAACTCGACTGTCAGTATGCACTTTATAGTAGTTGGATAGTATGCTAAACCGAGGGATTTTGTAGGCTTCACCGGTGTGGTGAATAGGTAGAAAAGGACCCTGGCGAGGGTCATCTTGCACGTCGAATCGCCCCGTCCAGCCCCCGGCGCATTCTCCCTTCTAAGCCCAAATAACAATCCCATTGAACCTGGACCAACCCACACTGGAACACCGGAAAATGATCGACATATTCTAGCGACCCTTGCGGATAGACTACTACTCATAATCAGTACTTGTATGAGCCCACTCTGATCCGTCGGATCCCGTCTTATCTCCGAGGCAATATCCCGAGTCCGAGTCTCCGAGAGAGGAATGGTCGCTTCACCTATGCATGGTTAAAATGTCCTTGGAAGTCGACACGAGAGGAGGCAGCCAAGCGAGCTTAGATCAGCCCTCGGCTTACAATACAACAGATCACAATGACCGTCACGAGCCAAGAACCCCGACCGTTGCAGGTGTTGATCGTTGGGGCCGGGATTGCAGGCCTGACTGCAGCCATAGCACTGGGCAAACAAGGGCATCATGTTGTGGTGTGTATATCTTGATGACAATGTCGAGATCTCATAGGGTGTATGTGCTGAGCGTTTCAGATTGTGGAAAAATCCAAGTTCTCGCGCGAGGCTGGCGCTGCGATCCATGTGCCGCCCAACTGTACTGCCTTGCTCAATTGGTTGAACATCGACCCCAGAGACTTTGGAGGCACGCTCTTGCAACAGGTTTGGAACTTGCCATCCGATGCTTGCTTTATGCTGTGGCACAGCGGAATGAAGACTGAGTTGTTCGATTAGATTCATCGGTATGATCACCTAGGCAATCTGAAGTATAAGAAGGAGTTCGATGGCATTCGACACATGTGGCAAGCAGTGAGTTGGCCAGTATCGTCACTTGAGTATAAGGTGCTGAGTCTTCAGGAATGGTACCTCGTGCACCGAGTCGACCTACACAATTATCTCAAGCAGCGAGCCATGCAGACAGCCACTCTGCACATGGGCTGTAAGATTGTCGGCATTGACGTGGACAGTGAGCGCCCTTCGGTGACACTTGACAATGGAGCACGATTTGAGGGCGATTTGCTACTTGGGGCCGATGGTCTTCACGTACGTATTCCGAGTAAAGTTGAATCACGAAAGGAAGACACTTTAACCCGCGCGATAGTCCATCGTCCGCCACGAGATAGGACAACAGCCACCTGCTCCATTCCCGGCGGGCAAATCCTGCTTCCGTTGGCTGCTGTCCACCGATGACTTGCGCCAATTGACCGCGACCAAAGACATTGTCCAGGAGCCTGGCGTCTTTATCGAATGGGCAAGGGATGATCGACGCTTGGTCGCGTATCCCTGCTCTAACAACAAAGTGTTCAATCTCTGCGCGTTCCTCCCTACGGCCGAGGCGGGTGGGCTTGGCGAAGGTAAGCACCACACTCGATTCCAATCCAAAATTCTGACTGGGCAAGTAGGCTGGCAAGCGGTCGGAAGCAAAGATGCACTTGCGTCCGGGTTCTCCAGCTTTGGACCCGCGGTCAAGGAACTCGTCGATGGGGCCGACGATAACCTCAAAGTCTGGGAGCTCTTCGACATGAAGACCCTGCCGACTTGGGTGAGAGGTCGGTCAGCATTGCTGGGAGATGCTGCCCATCCCTTTCAACCTTGTGCGTGACAGAGACTCTCCCCAGACGAACAGCCACAGTAAGCTAACAATCAAGCAGATATGGGTCAGGGTGGCGCCATGGCCATCGAGGATGCAGTTTCCCTCGCGGTCTTGCTACCCGCCGGCACTCGCACGGAAGACATTCCGGCCCGTCTGGCATTGTATGAGGAAGCCCGTCGGTCCCGTGTCGATCTCGTCCTGGATTATACACGCATGAATGGCGTGGATGAAAATGACACCACGGCCCGGAGAATGTCAGGTAAGATCCAGGCCAGTCCAGGGTACGAGACATTTTGCTCACGACGTCATTAGCTGCGGAGATGGTCAAATTCATGGGAATCTGCTTTTCGCACAACGAAGTCAAGAGTTCCACAGCATTGCTCGAACTGTCTAAGCGGAAGTGAAATGGACCCATAGATGTGTCTAATGTGGTTGCTAGGATACAAGATATCCATTGTCTGATATGGTACTAGGTTGAATGCACCGACCTTTCCTGCCCTTACTATCGGGATTTGATCTGAAGTGAGCCTAGTAGTTGATAGATAGCAGAGAACACGAATTCCAGAGAGCAGGAGATGTATCTCGCGTGGCAACAACCTTGTGCATGTCCGCATGCCACGGAAAGTACTTCATTGCCGCCACTGAGTCGAGTTTGCAAAATAGACAGGGGCAGAGAGCCCCGAAGCAAAAAGACGACAGCAGTCGGATTTGAACCGACGCCTCCGAAGAGAATAGATTTCTAGTCTATCGCCTTAGACCACTCGGCCATACTGTCTTAGATGAGGTGTTTGGGGTAGAATTGGCATACTCAGACAAAAAGCCAAAAAGGAGTTGTGGGAGACCCACTTCTCGGTTGAGTTCCGCGGTGCTTGATGGAGAGTACTTCCTTGAGCTCAAATCTTTTGATCTGAATATGATTATAAAGATAAGTGCTTTTCAAGATCGGATCGATGTCGCTTCAAGGAAGCAAGTCTGATGTTTGAGCAGTGGTGAGAAACAGTAGTCAGTACTCCTTTGAATCCTTCCCAGCAGTCAGCAGCAAAGGAGCAGCCAAGGAGGTAACTAGTGCCTGCATGGGCTCTAACCGGTTTCAGCCTAGACTGAACCCTAGCTGAGCTTTGCTCGATGTGGTTAAGTTAGTTTGTCAAGCTGAGTAAGCATACGCTAGGCAGCTTGAGGGCTAGTGCTTTTTTGCGCAGAGAAGACGGCGCATCTCCTCAATGGTCTTGACCTGCACTATCAAGATTCTGAATCTTGCTAATTTGCTTTCTCCCTCTTTTTAGTGGCCTAGCTAGTTCTTGTTCCGATGGGATATTGTTTTGACTTGATCCAGAAAATTTTTATGCAATGCGGATCCTTTGTCCGATCCTAACCACGCGTGGAAACAAGCTTGGAAATATATGTATTCTGCAATCTGTGAAACCTCGGATAGGGTATACATATACACATATACACTAATCCACCCTTCGTTGGCTGACTCGCACCTCGGAGCTCCATACATAAACAACTTACACAAAACTACAAAAACCAATCCTGTCTAACATCATATAAAAACATTCTTCCAAGTTGGTTGTCGACAGCTGCTGCCGCAGTTGATTGCCGGAATGGAAAAGGGTTTCTCCAGCTTATCTTATCTGCTGTTTTCCTCTTTCGGGTTTCCACCTCCCTCATCTTACAACACAACACACAGCACACAACACACAACACAGCACAACACAATGTCCAAGCCGATGGACAACTTCCTCCAAGTCGTTCAAGATTGCGACAAGTGAGCGCTTTGTTGTCCTCTTACATCTATCACCACTTACTTACATCCATGCTAGCTTTCCCTACCCGGAAGACCCCGTCTACGATAACCGCACAAGCACGCTGTGGAAGTTCTACCTCCCCGACGATGACCGACCCCACGGACTCCTGACCGACGACATCGTCCACGCCATGCCCTGGACGCCTGACTTCGACATCATACCCGAGCCGGAGAAGCAAGTCCGCCTGCGCCGTCCCGCGGGGCCGGACTGGCAGGCCCAGTGCACCCGGGTCCTGGCGCACCAGATGAACCGCGCCCGCGAATTCGGGGTCTTCCCCGAGCTCGGTCGCACCCGCGGGGAGATGTTTCCCATCGTGGGGGCTCGGTTCCCGGTCGCCATCGATCGCAGCGAGTTCTCCATGTGGGGGATCATCGGGCAGGGGGTGCACATGACGGTCTACTCGCGTACGGTCACAGGGTACCAGTTCTGGATCCCGCAGCGCAATCCCAACAAGAAGACCTACCCGGGACTCCTGGATAACGCGGTCGCGGGCGGGATGGCTATCGGAGAGACGCCGTGGCAGTGTCTGGTCCGCGAGGCCGAGGAAGAAGCGGGCATGACGGCGGCCCGGGTGCAGTCGGACGCTCGCGCGGCGGGGACCGTGACCTGGCTGAATGTTAGTGATGTACGCGCCTCGGGACCGGTAGGACTCATCAATCCGGGGGTGCTCTTCGTGTATGATATGGAGATGGGGGAGGAGGAGGTTTTGCGACCGGTGGATCAGGATATCTGGCAGTTTCATCGCATGGGGGTGGAGTCGGTGAAACAGGCGCTGCTGGATGGGCGGTTTAAACCTAGCAGTGGTGCTGTCATGCTGGACTTTCTGATTCGTCATGGACTACTCACTGCTGAACAGGAGCCTGACTATGCGGAGATCGTGGCCAGGCTGCACCGCAAGCTGCCTTTGCCGTGTGGTCCATAGAGAAGGTACTACTGGAGAAACACAGGACCTCGTGACGTCCCCATCTGTCACTCTTGTCGATATCGATGTGATTTGTGTCCACGGTTCCAGTTTTACTGTCAACTTCCCTCTCGAGAGTGCGTCATGCCCGCCAACATCGAATCAGCGTCGGATGTATCCGGCTCCGCCAGTACAATGAAATTACCTCACGGGCGCCTTGTCAAGCATTTAAAACGCGTGGCCCGGCCTCCCTTCCTCCTGAGTCTTCCAGCGCATCCTGCAGTTCGCTACGTGTACGGAGGCTGAGTTGAGAAACTGCTGCCAAGTCAGTTGTGCATGACAGGTAACGGCTTGTCATCAATTGTACTTTCAGCACTTCTACGGATCGTCCACGCGGGAAGCTATATATTTGGCACAATTTCTGTACGGTGTCGCCGACACGGACCGAGGGGATCAGGTGAGGGAACTGTCGTTGAATGCGGTCGGCACCCATCTGATACACCGGTCCGAAGTCGAACTACACACAGACCACTTCAACCGCCTAGCTGTGGAGGCTGGCCTCGGAATTCCGCTGGAATAGGGCGACTCATTACTACGATGCACGGGTGCTGATACCGATCATCCTCACCAGGGCGCGGAACGTTCACGAAAGCCTCATTGGAGTTACAAGATGATCTCCCTTACCTCCAAGATCTGCTGCACGCGGCGGTGGACCCGCGGAACAAAAGTCCTTTCAAAGCCTTCCTGATCTCCGTAAACCCCGACTTGTCAATCATCTAGGTGATTATCCTTCGGCAGAGCTCTTTTGGGTGAAGGACGTCATGGACGTCTTGCGTCTTCCAGCGCTCGAGGACCTGACTATTGATGGCATCGGGGCTTCTATGGCCAATTACCTTTGTTGGACCGGGAGGGGTCGGTCTCCCAGACAAGAACTAAGCATCACGATAGGCATGTGCCAGAAACCACGGTGACAGGATCGGACATTGCAACTATTCTGCAGCAGCCGAGAAAGCTGAAGCAGTTGAATGTTCACTTCAGCCAGATTCGTATGCCACACGGGGATCTCGTCGACGGCCTCTGGGATGGTCTCCCCCAGCACCGGGACACGCTAGAAAGCCTGGGGATCGAGACGAGTTTCCCGGAGTGGACCGATTGGGATCTGTCTTGAGATCTGTGCAAAGAGCCGGTGGAGGACGTCCATCCTTGTGCCCCTCATGGGGAATTTCCCGCCCTCAGAGAGCTTACGGTTAGCGAGAACTGCCTCCACTGCGAACTTCGTTACTACGATCCTTGCTTGCATGAAGATGACCCCTCCTGGATAGTTCAAGAGTTTCCTCCCAAATCAGAAACCTTAAACATCATGGATTGTCAATATGCCGACCAAGAAGGACTGGGCTTTGATAGCGTGCTGGGGCAGTTCGTGGGTGAAGGGAAAGGATGCCTCAAACAGGTCGAGGGTACAAGCAGAAAATCTAGAAAACATATCTACTTCAGTCAAATTGAGTCGGCTTGTTTGAAGAAGGGGGTTCGATTCGAACACCGGACTTATTGAGCCAGTCGCTGTCCGGTGTTAATGGTCGGCAATCCCACTTCTGCCGCCGAAGCTCGACACCTACAGCTCACTACCGAAGCATGGGTTTGAGGCAGTTCCAATAAGTACGTCTAAATTAATGCGATCTGACATGCTCCCAGCGAAGGCCGTGCGACCGACGCAAAATCGGCGATTATAGTGAGATAAAGTACAAATGAGATGACCATGCGTCCAGCGTCACGTCATCAATGAATGGAGGCCCAAGGAGGCAACGATAAAGGTAGATAAGAACACACCTATGTATACGAATTGATTGAAAGGTATAAAACTAAAGCACTGAACGGCAGACACTCGCAGGTTCGAAGGACCGTTCCCGCGAGAGTCAACAGGAAAAGAAAGGATAAAAACGTCGAGTGGCATATGTCATTGCGTGAAGAAAGAGAAGAAACGAGACAGGCGAGTCTCAATGGAACTGTTTGTCTTCGAGCAGCGGTCAGCCCAGAACCAGCTTGATCACACTGTCCGACGAACAGCTGAGGGTGTCGACATCGTCGGGGTTCTGGTACGCCTCGGAGCAGTCGCTATCGCCGGCGGCGCACTTGGCCGACGGGCACGACTCGACGCTGGGGACGGCGGAGAAGCCGTATTCGGTGAACCACGAGTTCTTCTCCATGTTGATGCAGGACAGGTCCCACCAGACGGTCTCGCTCTCGGCGGTGTACTCGAACTGCAGCACCTTGCTCACTTCCGTGGTCGACGACAGCTTAATGGAGATACCGCCGCCGTCCGGGTTGGTGCGCCAGCTCTCGGTGAAGGTGCCGCCGGCGGGGACGAGGGTCTGCATCTCGCCCTGCGTGTTGGAGACGGACCAGGCGTAGATGGTGTGGTTCAGGTTGTTGACGATCTCGACACGGCCGCCTGTCGCGCTGCTGCTGCTGCTGCTGGTGGTCGAGGAGGCGACGGCGGAGGCGGAGGGAGTGGCCGAGACGTGGGTGGAGGCGAAGGTCGAGGTGTGATGCGCCGTGGTGGTGGGCTTGACGGTGGTGGTGGTGGTGTGCGAGCCGTGGGAACCAGCCACAAGGACTTCGGTCACCACCTGCGTCTCCGTCTCGACCTGCACCTCGGTGGCCGTCGGGGGCATGGCGATGGGAATGGCCGAGGCCATGGCCGCGAAGAGGGCGGCGGCGCGGATGTAGTTGGAGAACAACATGGTTGGATAAAGTAGAGACAGGACGTCAATATCGACTCAGACGATTTTTCAAATGACGTGAGTTGAGGAAAAAAAAAGGAAGGACGATCGGACGATACGATCGAATTGTGGCTGGTTAGCTGAGCTGAGGGGGTTTCAAGGAATGACTTCTGACTGATAGCAGCCAGAGAAAAAAGAGTGACAATCCCGAAGGAGAGAAGGGAATGAACAACGGCGAAAGTGTAGGGGGAGCAGAAGACTCGACGAAAGGAGAGAAAGAGAAGGAAGGAAAGAAGTAAAAGGAAGGAGCAGCAGAGCCAGCAGGACTTATAAAAGAAGTATGACAGGCTTCCAGTACACAGTGTAAGGCGCGCGGGCCCAATGTAGCGCCCCCCTCCCAGCGAGGAGAAGGAGGGGGGGGCAGCGAACATGTTTGGGACTTCAGGCCCCATCCATTGCATGGATTCTCCTATTGACTGGTCTCATCTGGTCTGGCCTCATTGCTTAACCAGATTGGCTCAAGTGGATGGCGTGGCCTGCCAGGCACCAAGTGGGCCCAACAGAAGTCTGTCGAACGTGGCACTGGTTGGTGAATCATCCTCTCCCCCCTGACACACCGACAGAAGTCATCCGTGCATTTGCAGGAATTCATCAACGAGAGAAAGAGTGGAGGAGGGGAGAGGGGGAGGATGAGATCAGATCGGAGGAGGTTTAATTTATTTCGATCGGGGTGGTTCCCCAGAGTCCATCGACAATCAGTCAGGGTTGTTCAACATGAACAGAGAGACCATTCTCTGGATCAAGTCATCCCAAGGATTTTCCAAGATTTTCAGCAGACGGAAGCTTGTCAGTTGCCGCGTAGTCTAATGGCTGAAGGCCTAGTGTGCGAGTGGGGAAAAGAGAAAAACCGAACAATAGGCTGCCATTGATAGCTGTCGACGCTGCTTGGCGCTTCGTCGGCCGCGCGGGAGAGAACCTTGAGCAGGAGCAGGACGGTGCCCTAACTTCTAGCTGTACTACGCATTTCAGCTGCGGTGCGAAATCGCGCAGGCAACTCACTCCCCTCCGCTTCCGATTGCACTGCCAACCCCAACCTCGGACAATAAGTTATTTGTAGTCTCGCTAGTTCACTTAGTGACAGGGGTAAGGAAGGGTGGTCAGCATCTTGAAACAACCCCAAAGTGATACCTCACATTGGTTATCAGCAGGGGGATCGGGGATTGACCGGATTGGGGGCCGTTTGGACTGGGCGTTGCTGCTGCTGTTGACCAAGGCATACCCGGTTTCTTCGGGTATTGAGCCCGACCAGTGGATCCGAAGTTTTACTCACAAACATTCACATGCCCTAAGAGTGGTACAGTGGGCTGAATCTCGCCACCACGAATCAGTTTCGGATCAGGTACAGTTACCTTTGCCGCCTCGAGCCATGGATGGAGGTTGGTGCCTGAGAAAAGTGGAGGTGAGTCGGCATTGGTCATCCGAGACTCTCGGCCCTTGGCTGGGGGCCTAATGCCTTGATGCCTTTATGCCTTGATGCCTCACTGCCTCGGGCATGGGTAGGTTGAGGTACGGAGAAAACAATGGTATTGAACAAGACTACAGCTAACTGATGACTCCTGCATACTAGAACAATGACAATATAACCCTTACCAACCCTCACATAAACAACTTCCAATTCAACAAAATCACCACTCCCCCCGCCAGGAATCCACAAACTTTCGAATCAGCCCGTTCTCCATTAACTCAACGCCTCCCCTCAACGACGGACTCGCCGCCTCCGTCTTCTCCATCTCAAAGCTCAACCCGGCTCGACCGGGGTTCTCATTATCGTACTTCTCCGTGAAGAAATCCAGCAGTTTGATGGTGGGATTCTTAGCCGGGTCCGGATCGGATTCGCGGAGCCGCTGCACCCATTCCCGCCTGGGCAGGATCTCGAACTCCAGTCCTGCTTGCTGCAGCGCGGGGAGCAGGTCCTCCGTCCAGCGGAAGGTCCTCGAGTTCTGCACGTGGTAGATGACCCTTGGGTCGTGGCGGGAGATTGATGCTAAGGTAGAAGAATCGGCGGTGGCGATGCCGCTGAGTTCGAGCACTGCATCGGCCACCACGTCGACAGGCAGCCACGACGGGGTCTCGTCGAGCGCCGGCAGAGCTTTGAGGGTGTGTGCGGTCTGCAGCATCAGCGGGATGGCTTCGGTGCGGTTCCACTTGCCCGTCACCGTGTCGCCGACGATCTGGCCCACGCGGAGGACCTTGGCGACCATCCCCGTCTTTTCGGCCGCCGCTTGGATGATGCGCTCCGCCACGAGCTTGGAGCGCGCGTACCCCATGTTCTGCGCGTGCGCCAGCTCTGGGATCGGGCCCTCGGCGATGGTCGCCGGCAGAGGCGTGCCGGCGGCGGCGGAGATCGACGAGCAGAAGTAGAATTCCGCTGGGGAGGTGCGCGTGCCGGAGAGGCACAGGTTGATCAGGTTGTGGACGCCGCGGATGTGTTGTTGCTCGAAGCTCTGCACGCCCAGGGTGAAGTTGACGGCCCACGCAGCGTGGATGACTTTGGTGAGCGACTGGCGCAGGTCGTCCACTACCGCGACTGGGAGGCCAAGATCCTCGCGGCCAAACTGCGATGGCAGGGCAATGATCTTGGACACATTAACCATCGGCAGCGATCGGGTGGACAGGCTCGTGAGCACGCGGTCGAGCGCATCGGAGGGGCTGCTCGCCCGCACAAGGCAGTAGATCCGCTTGACGGAGGGGTTATGCATGAGGCGCGAGAGGATGTATACGCCCAGTGAGCCGGTGGTGCCGGTGAGAAGCTGCGTGGGTTAGTACCTGACGGGGTTCTCAAAGTGGTCTAGAGAGGGACTGAAACTTACAACAGTCTCCTCGGCAGCAGGCCTGCTCACGAAAGTCGAGTACTTGTCGATCAGTCGGGCCATGACACTCAGCTCGTCCTCAGCGCTGCTCTCCTGCCCGGTCCGGATTGCGTCGAGATGGGCAGCCAGCTTGCGAATGTTGGCGCAGTCATAAATCACATTATAACCCAGCTGAGCGGACCCGATATCCACTTGATTTTGAATGACACCGCGTGCCTTGATGGCCTGAAGACTGTCTACCCCTGCTTCGTAGAAGTCCGTGTCCAGATCGATCTCCGTGAATCCCAACTCGTTCCGGAACAAGGACAGCAGGAACTGCTCCAGCTCCTGTACGTTGTCGAAGATGTGGCGATTTGCCGCGGCGGTCGAGCCGCCTTCCTGGAGCTTCCGGTACTTCTCCTCAATCTGATCATTGAATTCGAGGTAGCACCGGTTGCGGATCATGGTTCCCTTGTCGGTAGCAGGATACGAACAGCCGGGGTCCAAGATGATCACCATGTCGCGGGAGATCTGACTGAAGGCCTCTGCATTTGCGTTGGCTGCGGCAATGTCCGGCCAGATCTGGTCGAGGATCTCTTCCTTTGTCATTCCTTGACACTCGACGCTGGGCACGACAAGCAGGCCCGGGAGTGGACGTCCGACGCCGTACACAAGATTGTCCTGGACATGGCGGTTTTGACGGATGCGGTGCTCGATGGGCACGGGGAGCACCTTCTCGCCGTTGACGAGCGTGATGCGATCGTCCAGTCGACCCAAGTACTTCCACGCATTGTTGATGGACGGGTGTTTCAAGAATGTATCGCGAGTGTGGAAGGAGTTTGGTGGGTCGTCTGAGTTCGAGCTGACCTTAGCAGGTAGACCATTGAGCACGACACACTCGTACGAGCCATCCTCCAGCAGGTCCATCTTCACAAAAGGAGCCACCTTGGGCAGGGGTCGGACGTAATTCCATGCCTTGTCTTCCGGGGGTCGTTCGGAGGTCATGAGTTGACCGAGTTCGGTTCTGCACTCTCGATTAGAATTTCAGACATCAAGGTATCTTTGAAGGGGCTAACATACGCGCCGTAGTGACTGATCAGCCGCACTCCCTGCTCGACGAGAAGATCTCCCAGATCATCGGGACAGCTGCTCCCACCAAAGAGAACCTGCTGGCACAGCGCCAAGGCCGCAACACCGCCCTCGACTTCACTCAGCAGTTTGAGCACATACGGCACGGCATGGAAGCTTTCTGGGGTTGTCACCCGCATCGTCTCGAGGACATGATTGCCTGTTAAGGGCAAGTTGGAGTTGTAAATCGCAACTGGCTTGCGCTTGAACAGCGATCGGAAGAAGGTCGAAAGGCCGTGGTTGTGGTACAACGGCAGGGTTAGCAAGGCCCGGTATCCCTTGCTGGTGCTGTAGTTGGCAATGCACGCCCCGTGGGTCTGGAAGATTGGCTTGGGAAGGCCCGTAGACCCGGATGAATGGATGATGAACGCCCATTTCTGACTCAAGTGGCTGTTGTCGGTCAGCTGTAGAGACGAGCTGAGGGTGCTGGCTGAGTAGGCGGCATGGTCCGGGATCTTGTAACTAGCAAGGGATGTGGTAGACTCGAGCTTGTTTACAGCCTTTGTGGCTGACCCGGAGTAGAGCAGTTGAGCGCACTTGGTGGCTGCGAGGAGATTCACATAAGCTTCCGTGCTGAGTCGGGTCGAGAGCAGCAAGACGGCGTATCCCAATCGGGTCAGTGCGAACAGGGAGACAATGTAGTCGAGATTAGAGGCGCCGAGAATCGCGACAACACGGTTCTCCGTCGGGTGCGAGAACTGCGTAGCGACATTAGAATGGAAGAGGATATACTGGCGAAGGCATTGCCTCTTACCTTCTCAAGCCCAGCCTTCTTCAAGTGCTCGATTGCGCCGTTGGCGAAGCGATCCAGCTGGCGAGCAGAGTAGTATACGTAGTCGCTGACCCCATGAGAGCTTTCCGGGTACCCTACCAGTGGTAGGTCTGGCGCATCCTGGATCAGTTGCAACAGCACGTCGTTGATCGTCTGGGGAGAGATCTCTTTCTCGTGAGGCGGGGTGGGTGGGAGTTCACCCAGCTGTCGGGCCTCTGTCACGTTGTCCATATCGGATGAGGTGAGAAGCATGGTTACTCTGAGTGCAAAAGATGGGAGATAAGCCTTTATGGCTGAATTGCGGTTCCATGCATATAATGAATCGTTTTATTTATTACTCTGTGCTTGCTGGATTGCGGGGGAATACGTGAAAGAATCCCCCGGTTAGGGTGTGGGGTCGGAAAAGCGCATCCCCACTCGGATAAGCATCGCCTTAGCCGACCAAAGCAATCGCTCCAAGCCCGGAAAACTGTAGTATCCAGATAGGACGCGTCCAGGTAAAGTTTCGGACTTTATTCCTCTCGCACGTAGTCTGTGTCTTGCAATCATTTGGACGGATATCATCACCAGAGTATCAATTCGACCGAGGGTGCCGGACTTGTATCCCCGTCATGGGCTGACTTTCGAAGCGGTCCGGGATACTTCACGTTGTAGGAAAAGGGTATGGCAAACATGTAAATGGATAAAAGTCGCCACAAAGAAGCTGAAGCTGCGGTCATACTAGCATCACACGATTTGTTCACGCTCGGCACAATGGCAACCAGACACTTCATCAACGACGGGACCACTCTCGTGCAGGATGCGCTTCAGGGCCTAGCACTGACCCACCCCTCGCTGATTTACGACCCAGAGAATAAATGTGGGTGACGAGATTCAAAGCCGGCCCAATACGAGCCACTGCTAATGCACTGCAGCAATCGTTAACTCCCGCCATGACGGCAATGCCAAAGTGACTCTGATATCTGGCGGTGGTGCGGGACACGAGCCCTCGTTTGCCGGCTTGGTTGGCGATGGCCTACTCAGCGCTGCAGTCTCCGGATCCGTGTTTGCATCGCCAAGTGTGCATCAGATCCAGAACGCGATTGCTTTGGCCGGTGGATCGGCTGGGACACTGCTGATAATCATGAACTACACCGGGGACGTCCTGCACTTTCATCTCGCTGCAGAGAAAGCTCGTCTCGCGGGCCATGAGATGGCAGTCTTAGTCGTGGGGGACGACGTGTCGGTTGGCCGACGCAAAAGTGGCAAGGTAGGCCGGAGAGGGCTAGCTGGTACTGTACTCGTGGAGAAGATCCTCGGGGCTGTCGCGCAGTACGAACGTGCCACTCTGAAGGAGTTATATCAATTAGGTGAGGGCGTTGTGGCGAATCTGGCCACGGTCGGGGCTGCCTTGGATCATGTGCATCTGGTGGGAAAGCCTACCACAGACCTGACGGTCCGGACAGACCAGGTCGAGGTTGGCATGGGGATCCACAATGAGCCAGGATGCTACGTGCTCAAGCCTCAACCTGATATCAACATTCTTGTAGATCAGATGCTGGATCAATTACTGGATCAGGAAGACAAAGATCGAGCATATGTCCGGTTCGACAATGCGGAAGATGTGGTGCTCATGGTTAACAACCTTGGTGGCGTTTCGAACCTCGAGTTCTCAGCTATGACGAAGGTGGTCATCGCACGACTTGGTAAGTTAGAGAGATCCCCTTCTGATTCAATTTGGCTAACAAGAGAGACGCAGGTGAACGCAACTTGCATCCAAGACGAGTATACGCTGGGGCTTACATGACCAGCCTAGACGGAAAGGGATTTAGCATCACATTGCTCAAAGCCAGCAAAGCAATGATACAAGCCTTAGATGCCCCTGCATCGAGTCCTGGCTGGACCGCCCACCAACATCTGCAGACATCTTCCGTAGCAAGAAAATCATCTGCTGCTGCGGACGAGAAGGCCCAAAGCCTAGATTCAAGTTCATCGAGATTGAAAGGTCAGTGAAATCGTTGCTACCCCTCCGTATACGTCATTACCTAACAATAATCTTGATACAATAGTGGATAATAGATCACTTTCGGCGGCCATTACCCGCGCCTGTCACAAGCTTGTGGCTGCGGAGGAAGAGATCGATCGCTTCGACTCCTTGGTCGGGGATGGAGACTGTGGCTCGACGCTGGCGCGGACAGCCCGAGCAATGCTGGCGGACATGGAGCAGGGCGGGTGCGTGCACCCCGACGGCGATGTGGTTGGGTCCGTGGAGGCCATTGCCAAGGTGGTGGAGAACAACATGGATGGCACTTCGGGCGCACTTTATGCGATTTTCCTCAATGCAGTCGGTGCCTCCTTGCGGGACGCTGGAGACAAATTGCAGGAAGAGAGACTAGTCGGAGCCGCTGAATGGAGCGAGGCTTGTGTGGCAGGACTGGATGCTCTGCAGCGCGCTACTCCAGCTCGAGTAGGAGACCGGACGTTGATGGATGCGCTCGATCCGTTCATCAGAGTGCTGCAAGCGGGCGAATCCACCGAGGCCGCTCTGCTAGCCGCCGAATCTGGGCGCGATCGGACGCAAGGGATGCGAGCCTCTCTGGGGCGCGCTGTTTATGTCCCCGAGCAAGGTTGGAGCGAAGTTCCTGATCCCGGGGCTGCCGGACTTGTAGTCTTACTCAAAGGTCTCTTGTTAGCTTGAGCATGTTGAAGTCTCATGTAATCTCTCTCTACCTTGCTGTGCACTTCGAGATCAGTCGCCTGAAGCCTACTATTGAGTATTCGCAGTCTGCCTGCCTAGAGGCTAGACATTTTGAAAGTCGTCCAGAGGAAAAAGATAGTCCAGCTCTCCTAGTCCAGCAACTGCTAGCGAGTCCAAGGCTTCCCAGTCGGAAATATTCATGATCCCTGTCCCACCGAGTCCATCGTTCGTAGGGTTGCTGTGCGAGGGCTGCGGGTGAAGTTGCATAGGGGCCAGGTCCATCCACTGGTTGTCCGCAGGTCTTGCTCCAGTCTGCAGAGGTTGGAGGCCGAACAAGGTTTCGCCCACACTGGCTTTTGCAGCTCCGTCGGGTTCGGTGCTGCCATGTCCGTGCTGTGAGGGAGGTGGGCCCAGAGTAGATGGGAAAACAGTCTGGCTTCCGATTACCCCGGACCGAGTATGGTTGATCGCTGTTCGAGCTTCTTGCCGAAGTTCTTCGAGCACTAGCACGTAGCGCTGTGCAAACGAGGAGCGCGAGCCACAGAAAGCGAGATCCCGCTGAGCTTGCTCAGCAATTTGAAGGTACCTATCCAGTCGGTCCGGTCGGTCCACTTGTGTAGAGCCCTGGACCACATGGACGTAGAGAACCACAATCGCGGAAAAGGTGTAGTAATGGGTAAACTAAGGCACGGGCTTATTAGTGGGTCTCGACGTAGTCCTCGAAGCTGGGCCCTCTCACCCAAAAGGTAGAATACATCCTGCCCCGGTCGCATAACTCACGGACGATTGCCGCGATCTTCATGGCTGCCTCCAGGCACAGTCTGGTGTACTTCCGGACCGATTCAATTGATTTGTCATTTTGAGGGCGGGTGACGGTGGAGTGACCAAAGTCTTTCAGAATGAAGGGTCGGTATAGTAGGACCTGCGCATGGTAAAAGGCCAGATTGAGAACGGTGTACTGTCGTTGGTAGGTCAGCATGAGCAGATCAACGTTTGCCACATCGAGGAATCCCGATAGCTCCTGACGCCAGCGAGACAGACTGGCCCCGTATTTGGCGGCCGCTGCCGCTTCCACCTGCCCGCTGGCCCGCCGGGGCCCGTAGACATCATGTAAAATGCCCCCAATAATGACCGACAGCTTGGCATGATAGACGGGGGCCAGCATAATGCTCTGAGCTGATGTCGTCGCCGGGAGGATCTGGTCGGCTAGAATGTGGCTGTCATTTGCGATTGAGGGGAGCTCCTGGTCAATATCGTCGTCATGAAAGATGCGCGGACGGCCTAGGGCCGCACTGAGATAGTTGTCAAGACTATACGCGCACCAGAAGACGCGTTTTCGGCATTCCCCCTCCACATAATCGAAGCCAGACCCCCGGTCTCTCCTGCGAGCCCGATGAAGACCAATGGCGATGGCCAGGCGGGCGGTCGTCCCGAACAGACTCCAACAATGATTGATGCGAGATTGCGACAGGAGGTAGAAGCACTGGGCCAGGCGAGCCTGCACACTCGTCAAGCGCACCGGGCCGGTCTCCGCTGCCAGATGATGCTCCGCTGCCGCCAGGTAGAGGGTGCCGTTGACCGATGCTCCGATCCCCTGATCTGACTCTGGTAAACACTGCTTCGCGTGAGCCAGGACCATCAAAACCAAGGCGCGGATGGCGCGCTTGCCAGGCCCCGCCACCGCCGAATCCTGCAGGGGACCATAGAACTCGGAGACCCAGCCCTCCACCTGGGCCTGATGGAGAAAACGGTGGGTCGGGAAGGCGAAATCAAAATATCGAGCAATGAGGATATCGGCTTCCAACCGAGGCGGGAGCAGGAGAAAAGCCGGGTCCAGCTTCGACAACGGGGCATCACCAAAGCTGAAGATAGGGGCATTGATCGGGAGAGAGATCTGCTCTTGCAGTCTCTTCTGGGCTCGAATGAGAAAGGAGACTCCTGATGAAGGTCCTACATAGTGACCTTCCATGTCGGTTTGATGTGCGTCAGGAGAGCCGCGAGAGGGAGCTTCGTTCCCAAAGCCACTCCCTCTGACTGGCGAGGCTGGAGATTCGAGGGGGAAGTCCGCGGTGCCCTCTGTCTCTGTTCTCGGAGGAGTATTGGGCTGTTCCCGAGGGGGAATGGGAGGGAGTTTTCCCCGGTTGTACTCGGCTGTGTAGTCGCATGGTTTGCCAGTGCGCTGACAGAGTGAACAGGGCAGCGTCCCGGAGCAGCGTAGTTTCTTTCTATCAGACTGACTCAGACTAGTGCTCCCCAAGAGAGGGTGGATGGAGACTGGCCTACCGTTTGCAGGCGTCGCAGGCGCGGGTTACGCGCACTCGCTCCTTGCCACATCGTCTTTTGCGCGAGGGTTCAGCCTGAGTGTCCATGAGCGGAGTGTGCAAAGGACTGTGCAAATGATGCGGGAGGTGTGTAAGATGATGGAACAGAGGATGAAGCAGTATTCAAAATGTATGTACAGTAATAGTGGAGGGATGCAGGGGAGAAGACACGAATAACGGAGGGTCGGAAGGAAATTAGTGGATTAGTCACCCGCCAACCCGCCAACCCCCCAAACCCCACGGGGTACGCCAGCACAGACCATCACCGCCAATTCTGTACACGAGGGCCACTTTATCTACTACATACCTTGAAGAAGTAGGCAATGACCCCTAGGTAAGTAGGTACCTAGTATACCTAGTATAAGTCTGTATCTATTCTAGGCTACGATTTTTTTTTTTTTCTTTTTGATGTAGTGCTTGAATTCGCCTACACTGTCGAATTTTGTAAATACAAGGAAGGACTTGCTACTTCCCAGTGAAAAGCTACCCCTAGTAGTACCTGAGATGAGAAGGGTTCTAATTTTGGTATACATATCCCCTCCTACAATTAGTTACCACTCTCGCCATTCTCCTCCGGGACCCTGAAAGCTCGGACTACGCCAGGCAGCTGCATCCACCGCTGCCGCCCGGATCTTCTCTTCATCCAGCTCGATCCCGAGTCCGGGACCGTCCATCAACCGGATCAGACCGTCTTGCACCGTCCAGACCTCGGGATTCTTGACATACGTCCCAATATCGGCCGATCCATGATTGTAGTGAATGCCCACACTCATCTCCTGGATCGCGAAGTTGGCCGAGACGGCGTCCACCTGCAGATTAGCCGCGAGGGCAATCGGACCCAGCGGACAGTGAGGAGCCAAGGCTACATCGTAGGCCTCTGCCATGGTCGCCATTCGGCGCAGCTCCGAAATGCCACCCACATGGCAGATATCCGGCTGGAGGATGCTGACCGATGCAGATTCCAGGAATGGCTTGATGTCCCACCGACTGTGTAAGCGCTCCCCCAGCGCAATGGGGATGGGGACCAGCTTGGAGAGGACGGCAATCGACTCTGGGTGCTCGGACAGGAGCGGTTCCTCGATGAACAGTGGCTCATGCGGGGCAAGCTTGTGGGCCAACTGGATCGCCATCGCCTTGTGGACGCGCCCGTGGAAATCTACGCCAGCGTCCAGCCCAAGTGCCTTGACAGCTTTGAGACGCTCCACTGATGCATCCAGTGTGTGGGGAGAGTCCAACCATGCCAGGTCTTCGGTAGCGTTCATTTTGATAGCCTTGAACCCTTGCGTAATTCGGGCGCGTCTAGATAGAAGCAAATTCAGGTTAGCATGGCTCCCTAGGCACAGGGAATGTGGCTCTTACGCTTGCACCTCAACATCCCCCGGTCGGTCACCTCCAATCCACGCATATACTCGCAATTGATCTCGAACTTTGCCGCCCAGGAGTTCGTAGATGGGTAAACCCAGTCGGCGCGCTAGGAGAGAACGAGATGGTTAGGCTCGAGTTACAGCAAGTCAAGGGTTCAAGAGCCCTCACCTTTGAGATCCCAAAGGGCAATATCGATTCCCGCCAAGGCACTCATCAGGACCGGTCCTCCGCGATAGAATCCCATGCGATAGCCATTCTGCCAGATATGCTCGATTGCACTGTACCGAGAGGGGAATAGAGTTAGCCAGAGCGAATGTAGAATGTACGCTTGGTCAGTTCTAGCTCACTTGGCATCCAGGCCGTGGAAGCGAGCCGCGAAGGCGTCCAAACAGCCTTCCACTGCCTCCGTGTGCCCTTCGAGGGAGGCTTCGCCCCAGCCAGTGTTGCCATCAGCATCGGTGATCTTGACAAACAACCATCGTGGGGGGACCCGAAAATACTCGATTTGGGTGATAGGCGCCATGGAGAATTGATGATTGAGAGGGAATCCGAGGAGAGGATACGCAAGTCATGTTGAAATGTAGTAGCAGTCGCAGCAGTCGCAGCAGTAGCAGCAGCATCAACAAAATGATTGTCGCGGTCCTTGTTGGAACCTCGAGGCATTCCGGAAAAGGTGCTGCGGAAAAGGTGCGACCGCTCGGAAAAGGAAACTCGGATATTCACCCGGCGACCCTATCAAGAACCATGAAGCCACCACCCCCGCTTCTTTTCCGAGGTAGGCGCAGATGGCGTCACTTGAGCTCGATATTGATAAACCGCGGGGCTAACAAAAATGGGCTAGATTGATTCCAGGTGACCAAGGTTCTGTTGATTTTGCTGCGTGCGTGGCATCTGTCCCATACGAAACTTTCCCCTCTTCCCACCAACACAACACCCCATCCATCTACCACCCGCAATATGGCTACAGGACGTACCTTCAAGTTGAACTCTGGCTATGAGATCCCGGCCGTCGGGCTGGGAACCTGGGTATGTTTCTTCACGAACGAAGCGCCCGGAAAGATGAACACTGATAATGCGGCTATTCCAGCAATCGAAGCCGAACGAGGTGCGCGAGGCCGTCGTTGCTGCCTTGAAAGGAGGCTATCGTCACATCGACGCTGCTGCCATCTACGGCAACGAACAAGAGGTGGGAGATGGTATCAAAGCCTCGGGAGTTCCGCGAGAGGAGATCTTCGTGCGTTTACACTTCATTCATCCGCTTCATCTGAAATGCCTTAAGAGTTTGAACTGACCGCGACGTGGCTCTAGCTTACCAGCAAATTGTGGAATACCCACCACCAGCCCGAACATGTCGAAGCCGCCGTGGACAAGACCCTGGCCGACCTTCAGACCGATTACTTGGACCTTTATCTGGTAGGAGGAAACCCTGGCGTTCAAGGATCCCGGATGGTGACTGATTAATGATCTAGATTCACTGGCCGGTCTCGTTCCGGTATTCTTCGACAACCAACCAGCCGATCGTCGAGGAGACGGGCTTGATCGATGTGATTGATGTGCCGATCAAGGATACCTGGGCAGCAATGGAGGAGCTGGTGGCCAAGGGGAAGATTCGCTCCATTGGAGTGAGCAACTTCACCCGCGAGAAGATCGAGGAACTGCTCAAGACGTTCGTGTGCGCGTCGCATGGAGAAGATGAGTTGACTGACGTATTGCCAGAGCTAAAATCCCCCCTGCCGTGAACCAGATCGAGGCGCACCCCTATCTTCAGCAGCGGGACCTTCTGGAGTGGTCTAAACAACAAGTGAGTTTACTAGGGATTGTGTCTGAACGGTGTGATTAACGGTGCTGTGTCTAGGGGATTGTGGTGGAGGGATACTCTCCCCTCGGAAATAACATTTATAACATCCCGCGGTAGGTGGCACTAAGCATTTTCCGACTGCAGGTACAGTAACTAACGTTGATTTAGCGCGGTCGATGATGCTCTCGTCATCGAAACGGCCAAGAAGCTGGGTAAGACCCCAGCGCAGGTGCTTATCAGCTGGGCGGTTCAGCGCGGGACCGTTGTGCTGCCCAAGTCGGTCACCCCCGAGAGAATCCAGAGCAATTTCGAAGGTATGCACTATCTCGACTTCTATCGGATACTAGGGATGGAGATCTGACCATAGATTTGTCGAGCTAGATTTTGTGCTGCCCGAAGAGGCATTCAATGCGATTCAATCCCTGGAAAAGCATCAACGCATGAACTTCCCGGCCCGCTTGGGGGTAGACATTTTTGGCGAGGTGGGCGAAGAGAGTGCTCGGAAAAGCGCATTGGCGTGGGCGGAAGAGCAGAAACGACTGAAGGCGTAGGCTTGATGTAGAATGCAGTAGGATACAGTATACAGTACATTGATGAATGTGATGATTATCCGAGTTCTTCCACTCAATGGCCTCTAATGTAACAACCATCCAACCCTAGAGTCTACAGGCAGAACATGCAAAGTGCAGAGGCTGAGCTACACTGGATACTATATGGTACAACGCAATGGACTGGCGTCACTTGCGAGATAAGGTCAGTGGTGTGAGATGATGACCGTGGGGCCCTCGCGTGTGTCAAGTGGTTGACGTCCTCCCCGGATAAAAAGAGGCAAATAAGATCTCGTATCCGACAGCCCTGGCTCTTTTCCGAATTATACAAATCAAGGGTTCAACAGCCCTTGCTTCAGGCCAGTCTTACCCCGCAATTATGAGCAGCAGGAATTACCCCAGATTCTTCCCCATTTAAGCTTGGCACAATCCTGGTCAGTCTCTGTCTCCTTGGCCGTGCTGTGGACAGGTCTGCTGGTTCTGATCTCACTTTCATCCCAAGTTTCATTTCGTGAGCAGACTTTCAATACCAAGAACCATGGCCGATATCAGGAAAGATGTCACTTCCGACCATCTCGAATACAGCGACGATGGGAATACCACCAAGGGCCAGGACAGCGACCTGGTACGCAACATTCGCAACCTCCCCGACGATGAACGGCAGCAGCTGGAGAAGAAATTGGTGCGCAAAGTGGACATTCGGCTGCTCATCATGATGGTGATCATGTACATTCTGAATTACCTGGACCGCAACAACATTGCTGCCGCCAAGCTGGCCGGGCTGGAGACAGACTTGAATCTGAAGGGTGACCAGTATCAGGTAGATACACGCCCGGAGAAACGGACTGCAGTGCATAATTGACCTGTTGCCAGCTTTCGGTCAGCATTCTGTTCATCGGATACTTGCTTATGCAAGGTAAGTCTGGTTGATTGATATCCATTCTTAGCATTTCCAGACTGATGGATCCACGCATAGTGCCATCCAACATGATCTTGAACAAGCTGGGAAAGCCATCGCTCTACCTCCCTGGGTGTATGCTCGTGTGGGGTGCGATCTCCTGCGCTACTGCTGCCACGCACAATTTCACCGGTCTACTACTCTGCCGTTTCTTTCTGGGATTTGTCGAGGCCGCATATTTCGTATGTGGGCTAACATAACCGAATTGCATGATTGACGCCATGCTGATGACTCCCTAGCCCGGCTGCCTATATCTGCTTTCCGCCTGGTACACTCGCAAAGAACTCGGCAAACGAACTGCACTATTATATTCCGGTTCCTTGCTATCAGGTGCCTTCTCGGGTCTCATCTCGGCAGGTATAACCAGTGGATTGAATGGCGCACGAGGCCTTGGCGCTTGGAGATGGTTATTCATTATCGAAGGATCGCTTACTGTAAGTGCACGACGAACCGGGGGTTGAAACAGAGGGACTAAAGTTGGGACCAGGTATTTGCCGCGTTCATCGCGCTCTTCATCATTCCCGATCTACCACGAACCACGCGATGGTTGTCGGAGGAAGAGAAAGCCCTGGCTGCCTGGCGGTTGGAAGCCGACATTGGTGAGGATGATTGGGTAGACCAGCAACACCAATCTATGTTGCATGGCGCCAAGTTGGCATTCTTGTAAGAGCTTCAAGAGATTGAGCTCTCGAGCCCAAGAGAGCAATTGCAGCTAACGCTCAGTTCAGCGACATCAAAGCCTGGCTCCTCTTGGGAACCATCTACGGCTGCACAGCTTCAGGAGCTGTAACTACCTTTTTCCCGAGGTATGTCTCTGCGCCCCTTATGGAATCCTCTTTGTGAAGTAATTCGATCCTGACAGGTGATAGTGTAATGGCTGGGCTTGGGAAGAACAATATTGATACCTTGCTGCTCACGACACCCCCATATTTGATTGGCACAATTCTCGTCCTGATCAATGCATGGCACGCCGACTTGACGGGCGAACGCTATCTGCATATCGCCCTGCCTCCGATCCTCGCCATTGTGTCGTTCATCCTCGCCATGGCAGGCAGTTCCTTCGCCGCACGATATGTGTATGCTCCTTCTTTCTCTGGGACTGTTGGCCATTGAGGCTGACTGAGATTAGGGCGATGTGTATCATGCTTCCTGGAATCTATTCCAGTTATGTGGTGGCTCTGGGCTACATCTCCAACAGTATGGCGCACCACATGCCACGCGTACAAAAGCACATTAACTAACAAGACACAGTTCTCCCCCGTCCCGCAACAAAGCGAGCGGCGGCTCTTGCCTTGATCAACTGTTTGAGCAATGTCTGCCAGATCTATACCCCCTATCTCTACCCGAGTAAGTTGTCCTTTTAACATGATGAGTCAAATTTAGTCAAACGGGTTGACTGATTATTTTGATGACAGACTCGGCATCACCAAGATATATCACGGCATTCAGCGTGAACATCGCAATGTCATCTATGACCATCATCTTTGCCACAATCCTGCGTCTTTACCTGGGACGTCTGAACAAGCGGCTGGACCGAGAAGAAGGTACCGAGATGGGGGCCTCGAGTGGCCAGCGGCACGATAATGAAGAACATGGGCTGCCTGGTCAGGCTGTGACTCGAGGGTTTAGATTTCTGCTCTAGAGTCACTTCGGAGGTAGCAACTCGATGCTTCACTACGTGGTGATCTTGAGGCGATGGGAACTTGTGCATGACTTCAACCCCAGGATCAGGGCTGGTGGGTATTTCAGCTGCTTATCATGTCTACCGAGTCAACAGAGTTGAGAATGGAAACTTTTCAGGGGAAATCATCGGCTTGATTGACCCATTCCTCCGGGGTGATCAATCGAGGGGCAAAACTAGCGATGGAAGTGGGGCGTAGTTCGTGTTGGCGTAGAATTGAGGGCAATTCTTCCCGAGACGGAGACGCCGACCTCCGACGATGACACCCACTTGAGGCCCACTGCCAGCCTAGAGAATGTTATAAATGGTAGAAAGTTCCTGATTGACTTTGCGGTTCTGAGCAGACTCCGTCTCAGTCCTTCCCAGAGTTCACATCGGCCCTTGTGGCCAGTCCGCTCCTTTAACTTGGTCGCCAGTGTCATTCTCTCATTCACCCACAATCCATTGGATATCGAATATGAAACTCACTCGTTCTCTGTGGCCACTAGCCTGGCTCGTAAATTACAGCATTGGTGCTGTCTATGCCACCGACATCGACGTCTGTACCCAAGTCACCCGCGATGCAGTGGCCAACGGCGATTTCACAGACGAGTCGGCCTGGACCTCGACCTCGAGCTCGGACGAATACTCGATCGTGACCAGTGGAGGTGTTAAACAATGGAGGCTATCTGTAAGTTGCTATAGTGTTATTCTCTCGCACGTTCACATGTTTTAATGTGCGATGCCTAGTGAGATACCCTATAGCACCGCGCAGAATGGATTCGTGCTGGAGCAACCAATCTCGCTGCGAGAGGGTCCGTATTACCAATTCAACATGTACGCCAACCTATTCGGAGAGCCAGATTCGAACGGGGATTATCCCTACTGCGAGATGGATGTCTACGCCGTGACGGAGGAATCTTCCCGGTTTGTGACCTATGGCTACGTTTGGTCTTCAGATGGAAGTGCCACCGGTTGGGATTTGATAATGGGACAATGGCAGTCGACGACTACCGAGGCGACTCTCCGGTTGAGCATTACCTGCTCGCAGGCTTCGACGAGCACGCTTCAGATTTCCAGCGTCTCGTTCTTGGGACCGGAAGTAGTTTGTACGTCCCAGTGTGCAGCTGCCACGACCACCTTGACCGGGGAACTGGTCCAAGACGGCGATTTCTCCGACGACGAGAGTACCACCTGGCGAGACGTGTCATGGAGTACCAATCTTGACTTGATAGACGATGATGCTCCAGGAGGTGGTCAATGCGTGTAAGTGAAAGACGCAGCCTTTGATTGAGAATGCTTACTCTAACTCTGTCGTTTTAGGTTTGTGTCAGGCTCGGATTATAACTTCTACCAACTCAACCAGACGATTGCCGATGCACAAGTTGGGCAAACGTACGTGGCCTCGGCTTCTTGGAGGCTTAAGGCAGATGACTTTGACTCCGATGTGGCCGTCTCTTGCAGTATCGATTACCGGCTGTCTGATGTTGCCTCGGGACTCCTGTTGGATATTATTCATGACGAAGTCACGCTTTCATCTACTGATAGTGGTTGGATGACGGTGAATGGAAGCTGGGATGCCACGGTTTCAGACTTTCAGATCCTTGTCAGCATTCAATGCACTACCGACGATTATACATATCTACCTGACATGGAAATTGCCAACGTCCACTTGAATATTCAAACCGTGAGCTGCCCAGTACCTACCTCTTCATCAGCAGTGGTGGCGAGCTCGACTCCGGTGCGTTCATCGTCTGCCATTTCTTCCTCCGCGGCGATATCCTCGTCAGCAATTGTGAGCCCCAGCCGTGCTGTTGCTGCGTCTTCACCCGCCTCATCCGTTGTGGCGATTCCCTCAGCAGCAATCTCCTCGTCGGCAATTGTAAGCCCTAGCCGTACTGTTGCTGCTTCTTCTGGGCCCGTTTCACCCGGTCTGGCAGTGTCGTCAGCAGCGATTTCTTCGTCACCAATTTCCAGTCCCAGTGACATATCCGTTTCTCCAGTGTCATCGGTTGTTATACCTTGCTCCACGCCTATTCGGTTGTCATCTGCTGTAGTAAGCCGCAGTCGCATTGCCGTTTCTTCCGCCTCAGAAAGTCACACTGCATTCACTCCTGTCACGACACCGGTGGTTGTCCCAGTTTCAGTTCCCAAGCCCTCGTCGGTGGTGGCTTCATCAGCGCCTCCACTCAATTCTTCATCTGCACTGTCTCTTACTCTGACCGAAGGCAAATCGACCGCGGCTCCAGTGATGACTCCAGGTTCCTCGAATCTGCCACCTACTGGTCTCCCTGCTAGCTCCGCTGTTACTAGTACTGTGCCGAGCACAGATGCGACGACATCAATTTCTGCTGGGCCTGCCCTGACTACATCCACAGTCTTCACCACTAGCACCGCTACAATCACTGCATGCCCTTCCACCATCCCTAACTGTCCTGCCTCCAAGAAGACCACATATCTCACTACGGAAACTATTCTCGTCTCAACCACAATCTGTCCCGTTGCAGCCACTGCAACCGTCGTCGATGATGGCTCCTATACCTCCACAATGTTGACGACCCGAACGATGACGATTACCTTGTGCGCTGCTAGCGTCACCAACTGCCCTGCTCGCGCCCAGACCACATTTACAAGTACTCAGATATTGGTGGCTGGGACCACGGTCATTCCAGCTAAGACAACCGTGGCTGTCGCAGCAACTGATTCAAACCCTGCAAGCGCATCTGATTCCGCATCGCGCTATACCCAGACTGCGGTGCCTGCGGCTGGTGAAGACAGTGTCGCGGGAAGTCGAGGAGGTAATGGCCTGGCCAGCACAATCAGCCACTACGAGGCAGCTGCCACGTCCTCCGTGGATGATGTTGCTTCTAGCTCCAAGACTGTATCTGCCTCTACTGGAACTGGAGCAGTTGTCCTAGAATTGACCTCTAGTTCAAGTGACGGTTTGACTTCAGGCTTGAATCTCGGTCCCGGTGTTGGATCTAGCTCTGGTTCTGGTTCTGCAACAGCTTATCTACCATTCGCGTCGAGCTCTAGCTCTGAGTCTCCAGCTGGGGCTGGTTCTATCTCAGACTCTATCCTAGGCTCCACCTCAGGTTCATCTGCGGATTCCTCCGCAGACTCCTCCGCGGATTCCTCCTCACTTTCCTCTGCAAGTTCCTCTGCAGGCCTCTCTGCAGAATTCTCCGCTGGAACCTTTTCCGGCTCTCCTTCAGACTCCTCGGATTCTGTGTCCGGCTCTTCACTTGGTCTGTCCTCCAGCTCCTCATCCAGCCAACCTTCTAGTCCCGTTGTCGAGGATTCATCCAAGCCTGCCTTGGACAGTGCCGCTAGCACAGATTCTAGCCACAGCTCCGCCACTGACTCTATAATCACCCCTGCTTCTGACTCAGGCCCTGCATCCGGCTCTTCCTCCGGTTCCCACCCCGACACTGCCTCAAACAAGGGCACCAGCACCACCGCGCCGAGCAACCCTGACTCCACCCTTGAGTTGGCCTCCATGTCAAACACCTCCCAGTCCGCACCGGATTCTTCCCCATTTGGATCTGAATCAGGCGTCTCGACTATTTCTAGCTATGCGTCCAATGGTGATTACACGGCACAGAACGTACCCAACCCAATGGCGTCTGCAAGCATGAAGGGCAGTGAAACAAAATACACATCTTCGGCTGCGGCTGCCTACACTTCGATTCCGTCGAAATCACCCGTCAGCACACCTGTAGCATCATCTTTCGCCACCGTCAAAGCTACGGCGTATGCCTCCGCAGCGCAAGTGTCGTCCAGTACTATCAGCACTGCTGGAGCCATGTTCACTGGCGCTGCCGCTAGCCATCGTGAGCATATGCCTGTCTGTGGGTTAATTGCTATCATTGTTGGTGTTTGGGTGTTGTGATAGCTGTTCCGATGGCTTGATATATATTTGCTCTCACGCAACCTGCTCCTAGGTTTCGTGCTGTGCTCAACTTCAGACTCACATTTACGAGATCTATTATCTTCATATAATCTCACAATTCTGACCTACAAGAAGGGGGAGGGCAGGACGTTGCTGGCATAGGATAATCAACGCCACCCAGAACATAACCAAGCATTATCTGAAAGTCTATGTAGACTACTGGTAGTGAATTTGTGGCTGCAAAATGAGGCCCTTTCATTGTCGCGACCAATGGTCTTAGTCCTCTTAGGAGCAACGACGGTCTGAGCACCCCCCAAGTATCGCGATGATGGTATTATCTCTGTATTTTGGATATATAGTGTAGATTACTGCCAGCAGTAAGTGTGCCCTCCAACCTGGGTTTTAAAGACCAATACCTAGACCCCACGACGGATCCGCATCCAAGTCCCCCATATTGAACCACCCGCACATATCTTGCAGAGAGTCTAAAGACAGAAGGACATCTGACTCGGAGCCGGACATTGAGGCCTCTGGCGTAGTTCCCGAGGCTTGTGTCCCCTCCCCGTGACTGAGACTGGGTAGCTCACTCGAGCCGGAACTCTTCCTAGAGCGCACACTGGCCGCCGTTGCGGAAGTGAGACCAAGCACGTGGCTCGCGATCGTCTGGATCTCGCGGACGTTCTTGGCGGTCCGGGGCCACAATTCGCCCAGTGTCTTGAGGCATCCGATGATCATCCGGATCTGGTCGCGTGCGATGGTCAGGTCCTTGCCTGCCAACAGGCAGTAACAGGCGGAGAGCAGCGATAAGGTGCCCTCGCTGATCATGCAGGTGACAAATGGGGTATGATGGAATTGCTGTACGGGGAGGGCCAAGAGGCGGACCTGAGCTTCGACGGATCGTAAGACCCGAACTGTGTGGACGTTGACTAACTCGGGGGTAGGGGCGTCTGGAGGTGGGTCTCGGGCGCAGCTGGAGAGATCCTCAACCGGGTTGAATTTGAGGTCGGAAAACGGCCGGTGTAGGCCGATGGAGGCGCTTGTGCAGGATGGTGAGCTTCAGCTGGGTTGGACAAGAGCATTGGGCAACATGCTTACACGTGAATGAGCAAGTGCGCTTGGAACATGAGCTCGTCGATCTCGCCGTTTTTACTCATGAGCTGCTTCCGGCTCGGAGGCAACAGCAGCAACCACCCGTCAAGTATTGAATCGGCGGTCTGCATGACTCTTGTTGAGTCTTCTTTGACTGTATTCCTTGGAGCGGTCGCAATAGCCATTGCGGCGCATCGCGCGGCAGCGATCAGGTAGGTAAAGGATGAAAAGACCGGGTCATCGAGGGCGAACTCGCGGCAGTCAAAATCTTGGAGGGTCTTCGGGGCTGGGATTACCTATACTCGCGTGAGTCTAGGAATCGGTGACGATAGATGGAATTTTAAACTTACACCTGACTCATATTCATGTTCTTCGCATGGAAGTCCCGCTGTGGCCTCAACATCGAGGAATGCAAAGGTCATCGTCCCCAACGTGCCTGCGAAGAATAAGTCCAGAACATAGACCGCCCACCACGCCCGCCGCCAACACTCTTGCAAAACTCGATCCCCACCACCGTGAGTGAATCCAAACGGTGACTGATACATCTTTAGCTCTTTTGCCAGTCGTCCTGCTTGTTCGTTCTGAGATAATGCTTGCTCCTTCCGTCCATACCAGAACAGAGCGATGGAGTAGAGGAGTCGGGACGGAACCAGGACGGGGTCGCCTGGAGGGGCTTGTGCAAAGCAGGTCTCAGATTGCTCCTCCAAAACGTCGGACCAAGCGTGTGCATGATATATATGACCTATGCAGCACATAACGGCAAGCAGAGGCCTCCATCGGACCTCTTTACTGGGATCCCGGAGGAGGGTTTGGAAGTAGGCCTGGGGTGGTGCATAAGGATGCAAAGAATGGAAATGGCGGTAGTACGAGTCGAGTAAAACTGGTTGTCCTGAGTGATCGATGTGTGTCTGCGGGTGAGAAGAAGAATTTGATGGAGGGGAGGAAGTTGAAGTAGGGATGTTGGTGATGGTGGTGAGCAAGTTGGTCTCGGTTGCGGTCTCGGTTGCGGTCTCGGTTGCAGTCTCGGTTGCAGCGGCGGCCAAGCGCTTGCGCCGTTCCGCCAGCGCAGCGCGGTCCAGACCCCCGCGACGCGACCGGGTGTACTCGCACGCTTGAGCCACTTCGACGCAGCGACTGCAGGAGGGTCGCTTGCCATCGCATTTGAGATGTCGACTCCGACAGGGTAAGCATGCGAGCGATGAACGGGTAACCTTGGAACTCATGGTGAGTCTAAAGGTCTTTTGACATGGCGATGGATGCTGGAAGGCGAGTTGATAATGGGTTGGTTTATCGATAAGAAGATGAAGAAAGAAAGAGTGGAGAGTGGAGAGGAAGTGGGCGGGATGACTCAGCATTTATGCCCAATGCAGACTAGCGCCGGGTACCCGGGAATCCCCCGCGGGTATTCGAGGAATTGCTGTCACTGTGTATACAGAGTAGCAATTACATCAATACTAAGGTAGTACCCGGAATCCCGTCCACGGAATTCATTGCTCTATAAATCTAGAAACGATGCATCTCTAATGTAAACCACTCACCGATAATCGTTCACTCATATATTAGATTATTCCAACACCATTCCACCATGCCAGCCAAAATCGTCATCCTGGGAGCCGGGTTTGCCGGGCTCTGGAGCGCCCTGGCAGCCCAGCGCCTCATCAACCTCGCGAACCAGACCGACAACATCAAAGTCCTGGTCATTGCTCCCAGTGCAACCTTAGTTCTCCGGCCCCGTCTCTACGAGGCAGACGCTGGCAACATGACCCACCCTCTGGGTCCCCTTTTCGTTGCCACTGGCATTGAGTTCTGCCCGGGGACCGCCCAAAGCATTGATTCCGACGCGCGCATTGTTCGCACACAGTCCATCGATGGATCCGAATACGAAGTCCCTTATGATCGTCTCATAGTGGCGGCTGGAAGCTCCGTCGTCCAACCGCAAAGTATCACTGGGCTTCGCCAACACGCATTTGACGTGGACTCCCTAAAGTCTGCTGCGAAGCTTGACGCGCATCTTGCTGCTCTCCAGTCTCTTTCCCCCAGCCCTGCACGAGATACCGTGGTGGTCTGCGGGGCTGGCTTTACGGGAATCGAATTGGCTGCGGAGCTACCCAGGCGACTAAGTCATATTGCCAACGTGCGGGTTATTCTGGTTGATCGGGCGGAGGATCTTGGCCCTGAGCTGGGGCCGGGACCGCGTCCGGTCATTGCGCAGGCCTTAGGCGAGGTCGGGGTTGAGTGTCGGTTGGGCTCGGGAATCCAGGCCGTTGATGCTGACGGAGTTACCCTCATGTCCGGAGAACGCATCGCTACCAAAACCGCCATCTGGACCGCTGGGGTTCGGGCCACTCCTCTCACTCAGCAGATCCCGGGCCCTAAAGACACTCTCGCACGAGTCTTCGTTGATGAATGGCTTCGTGCCCCGTCCGCCGAACATGTCTTTGTCACTGGGGATGCTGCGTGCGCCATGGCGGACAATGAAGGGCACTATGCCTTGATGTCCTGCCAGCATGCCCTGCAACTGGGCAGGGTAGCGGGTCATAATGCAGCAGCAGATCTTCTGCGTAAATCCATGGTCAAATACTCCCAAGCAGCCTATCTGTGTTGTCTGGACTTGGGCGGTTGGGGTGCGGTGATCTCGGGTGGCTGGGAGCGGCATGTCCAGATGTCCGGGGAAGTGGCGAAGCGCGTCAAGTGCTACATCAACCAGAAGTTGATCTACCCACCTGAGGATGCCGATGAAGCATTGCGGGCTGCGAATCCAGTTGGCTCAGGCTCAGACGAGTTGCTACAGCAGATTCTTCAGGTTGTCTGACGGGGCGTGCCGTGTTCTGTCACGATCAATTGTCGTGCTTGATTTTTCATTTATTTTCTTTGTCAAGTAGCTTTGTGTAATTATAGTAAGATAGGGTGATTTCAAGATTAGTTATATCGATACTCCAAGCTGTGGGGTCATCGTCAATCTCGAGTGGAGTGGGCTATTGAACACGATGATAAATGAAGGCTGAACTCCTAGTCATATACAAGCTCCTCGGACCAGCCGTAGGCATTGAATGCAATCATCGGAGGGGCTGCTCAAGTTCCCTGTAGTAACACCGATTGGATGCCATTGGCAAAGAGCAACCTCGCATACTGGGAATGGAACTGTTTCAAAATCTCAGAACCGAAAGGAACATTTTTCTGCGGGTTACACTGGAATGATTGGAGCTCAACCTGCACCTGGCTTTCGGTGGTTGAGTCTGTCTTGCTCGGGCCTTCCCCGCCAGTATCTTCAATTCTTGTGATCTGGAATCGGTGACAACCCGCAAATGAGGACTCATCCGACCCAAAGCCGTAGTCAATCCAACTAGCTCGCCGACTGGGTTCGGCCACTTCTGACTCAATCGCAATGTGCTTGTCTAGAATCATGAATGTGCCGAAGAAACAGGTGCCCACGGGATGGAGGCGTGAGTCGGAGACATGCGCCCGCCGCCAGAGAGTTTGGGCCGTGTGGCCCTCTCTCAGAAAGCCTGGGTCATCATTTCCATTAACGAGCTCTCTCATGACTTGCTTTGGCTCAGGAGATACGGACCGGTATATCCCACGGGTAGAATTCTTCCCCCAACAGCTGTCAACAGCAGCCACTCCGGGGCAAAAACGAAGCCGCCAAAAAAGCCGCTCGTAAACAGTGCGAGCACTCTCTCATCACTGACGCCAGCTACAGCGGAGGCAGGAATGACTTGAGTGATGCAGTCGGTGCCTATTACGTGCTGGCGTGGGTTGACATAGGATGAACTGAGTGAAGTGAGAAACCCGGGGCGCACCGCAGCCGTCGAGGAGGAGTGAACGAGGGAGTGAAAAAAGGGCGGGCGAGGGATCAATCGCGCAGACATTTCTAGTAGCATGTATTGATATGATATTGATATGATCCCCGGTACAGGATTCAGATCATTCTCTATTTATACTCCTTGGATCCTTCCGATTCTACCCGAATCCCCTTCCGGCTTGTTATCGACATGACTCAGAATTGGCGGTGTTGACCACTACTCGAATGCTTTTAACCATAAGGCTTAATTACGCCTTTCCCAGACCTGTCCACAACTCGCAAAATGGACTTATGCTTTATGCTCATCGTGACTGGGGCAACGCAAGGTCGTATACGGTCCACTGCTGGGGTATTTGTCCCCCACCCCCGCGACGTCTTGACTCCGCACAAGCTCGATCCCATCAATGATTAAACTCGACTCTGCTGACCATCATGCAGTATTCGATCAAAGCAGACGTCAACAGAGTAGTAGATCACCGAAAAGAATCCGAGCGAAAGACCTGGCATGAAAGGCTGTTTTAAGGGGCCCTGCCTACCCTAATTGCTTGAGCTTATGAGCCGAGTTTCGTGCAAGATACTGGCTTTGGTGCCTCAACACAGTTGTATGCAAACCTTTCCCGGCAATAATGGTGCCGATCATGGGCTATGTATGACTGAACGGAGCATCTTTGCCCTAACGCGTGGCAGTCCCTTCGACAGAACCTCGTCACGAGTAGGGACGCAAGGCAGGAGGGAGTAATTGACTCTGCGGCTAAGCTCTGGGGCTGGCGTGAGGGGAAGTGGGCACATTATGGATGGAGCAAATCAGGACAGGGCGTATAGGTCGTCACTGAATGACTGAGTGCATTTATCCGGCTGAAATGCGGGGAACCTCCCATTGTTTCCCAGCTTTTATGCAGGTCCCCTCACCTTATCCTCGCTTATCCGGGAAGCAATCTAATTTCTCCATAAATCACGCCTTCCATCAGCCCATGCCCTGACAGATGGTGTCAGTACCTGGAAGTACCTTGCAGCTCTGCAAGCTCTTCCCTGAGTAATTTCCCGGTGGACTCTGCCCATCATGCGGGGTTTTGAAGTTTGCATGCATGTAGACAGTCACACTCGCATATCGCGGCACATTAAGGACGCAACCTAGCACTCCCAATGAGAATATATTCAGCAATGCCCCATGGAGAGTATTTGGTTCGACGGTGGGTTATACGGAACGCACCGAAGTATTTGGCTCACCATCATGCATCTTGCTTCCCTCTCAGCCTGGGCCGTGACTTGGCTCGCGGGTCAGGCGCTAGCCATTGACCTAACCGTGTCTAAGTCTGGAGGAAATGCATCCAGCCCTTTACTCTACGGCATCATGTTTGAGGTCAGTGATGATAGTCTACCCGGCGCTCCGGCTACATACTAATTCCGGATTTCCCTGCTCAGGATATCAACAACTCAGGTGCGATGTCCAATCGATCTCTCATCCCTCTGGGTCTTCTCTGAATCAGCTAATTCGAATGTAGGCGATGGGGGGATTCATGCCCAGGTGCTTCGCAACAACGGGTTCCAGGGCACCAGCCCCGGGCTGACTGCCTATGCCGCCGTAGGCAATGTCAACATCACACAGGATACTTCCAATCCTGTGAGCAGTGCCATTGCCTCTTCCCTCAAGGTCACAGTCCCCTCCGGAGCCACCGGCTACGTAGGATTTGCCAATACAGGTTACAATGGAGTCCCCGTTCTAGCTACTACGTACAGCAACTCGTTCTACATCAAAGGCGCCTACTCGGGGACGGTCAATCTCCGGCTCGTGGGAACCTCGAGCGGGATCGTCTATGCAGACCACAACATCACAGTGAAAAGTACTACCAGCAAGTTCACATCCTACGAGACGACCTTCAAGTCTAGTCAGTCTGCCGATGCAGACAATGAGTGGCAATTGCGGTTTGATGCTTCGAAGGTGGCTGGAAAGTCTCTTAATTTCGGCTTGGTGCAGCTTTTCCCACCCACATACAAGTCACGGTGAGTCTACCTCATGGACATTAGTTCGACACTCCGGCTCGACCATTGTCTAACATTATCATGCTGTGCAGACAAAACGGGTTGCGAAATGACGTCGCCAGCTTTCTTGCGGAGATCAAACCGTCCTTCCTGCGTTTCCCGGGAGGCAATAACCTGTAGGTTCAACGGTCGCGAACCGGGATATTCTGTGGTACTGAGTCCTATTCTCTGCACAGTGAAGGAGCTAGTCCCAGCAATCGGTGGAAATGGAATGAGACTATCGGCGCTGTTGTCAATCGACCAGGTCGCCAAGGTATGACACATCTCCTTCGTACTATAAGCACACAGTTGGAGATCTAACTAATGGCTTGCAGGCGATTGGACTTACGCAAACACCGATGCACTGGGTAAGTTCCTCAGCACTGCACGGAAGAGATTATGCTAATTCAGCCGTTAGGCCTCGACGAATACCTCTACTGGTGTGAAGACATGGGAATGGAGCCAGTTCTTGCCGTCTGGGCAGGTCTTTCTCTGGGGGGAGGTATCATCTCTGGTTCAGCATTGGACCCGTACATTGATGATATCCTCAACGAGCTTGAGGTATGTCTTTAACACCGGAATTCACTCCACTCGAGCGACTGACTTGGAGGGTTAGTACGTACTTGGCTCTACCGCGACGACATATGGTGCGCTCCGGGCCAAGAATGGCCGCACGGAGCCCTGGCCAGTGAAGTATATCGAGGTAGGCAATGAAGACAACGTGCAAGGCGGATGTAGCACCTACGCCAGTCGCTTCACGGCGATCTACGATGCAATCCATGCCCAGTATCCCGATTTGATTATCATTGCCTCGACGACCTCCAGCTCTTGCCTCCCGGCAACATTGCCCACGGGGGCCTACACCGATATCCACCACTATCTCTCGCCCGACTCCTTTGTCGCTCTTTTCAACGAGTTTGACAACTATTCTCGTGATCATCCCCTTTTGGTTGGGGAGTACGCCAGCACGACTGGTAATGATGGGAGCACCACCTACTGGAGCTACATGCAGGGCAGTTGTGCCGAAGCCGTGTACATGATTGGTCTGGAACGCAACAGCGATGTTGTCAAGATGGCGAGTTTTGCGCCCTTGCTCGAACATTTTGACATGGCCGAGTGGTCGGTAAGTACTATCTTATGTGTCCTTCCCCATCAAATGGATTCACGGTTGCTAATAGATCGTCTCTTCGCGCAATAGCCGGATCTTTTCGGACTCGATTCTAGCCCTGATTCCATCACCGGATCGACATCGTTCTATGTACAGAAGTTATTCTCTACCAACCGGGGGACCACTATCCTCCCCGTCTCAAGCTCTGCAGACTTTGGGCCTGTCTATTGGGTCGCTTCTGTGTCTGAAGAGAAAGTCTACTATGTGAAGCTGGCGAACTACGGGTCGACGGCCCAGAACGTGACGGTCAATATTGCGGGAACCACCAAGGGATCTTTGGAATTACTGTCGGGCGGCGAGCTCGTGAGTAATTATCCGCACGACGTGTCGATTACTCCTACCACCTCGACTGTGACGGGTCATGGCAGCTTTACCGTGAATCTGCCGGCCTGGGCGGTTGCTGTTCTCGCAGTATCGTGAACCATCGAGTTGGTCGATCATGTTGAATGTACTGGAGCTGGAACCTGCAGTAGCATAGAAGAAGGGATGAGCACTGGGAATATCAAATGTTTTGATAGGGACATAATCCAGCGAGCGGCCTAAGCATTACGTTGTCTGAAATATATTCTCATCAGCCCTGGTTCATGGACGAGATTTTGATCGTGATGCTATTGAAAACTTGCTATCTACAGCCTTGCTCTCACTGCACTCTGGCTTTCACCAGCCTTCAACTTCTTCCAGTAGGCCTCCTTGGCCTGCAAGATCTCAAACGCCTCCTCAGCCCACCGGTCCTCCCACGGTGGCAATCCGGCTCCCTCCCCGGCAAGATCCACCAAAAAGTCAAAATACTCCTTGAAATCTGGCTTGATCTCATGGAAGCCAACTCCATTCCCTTTACTTTGCAAGCGCTTGAACTCCCAATGATCCTGCTCCGCTTTAGTCGGGAGGTCCCTCGACCGCCCGGCAAAGTAGCGTGCCACCGCGACGGCCTGGTACTCGTAGACGCGAAAACTAATGGCCGCTCGGACCTGTCCCACCAGAGCCAGCGAGGGGTCGGCAATGCTGAAGATGTGTTGGTAGAAGCCTGCCACCCGATTGTTCGGGGTCACAGGGTCGGGGATGAGAAAGGGGTAGGAGGCTCGGTAGCCGGTGGCGAAGATGATTTTATCGACGGTCAGCGAGGTGGCATCGGTGAAGTGCGCGGTAATCCCCTGCTCGGTGGTCGACACGTGCGCGATGGTGGGTTTGCGTTGGACATTCGGAAGCGTCCAGGCGGGTTCGAGGACGGGGTTGGACCCCCGCTGGCTGAGATACAGCGGCCCTGCCACGAGGGAGTGGACTTCGGTGACGATGTCTGCAGCGGAGACATTGCCTCCCACCACCAGAACGCGCTGGTTGACGTAGTCATTGGCGCTCCGAAAGGCCTTGGCGTGCTCCAAGGCACGCGGATACGCCTCCGACGCCTCCGCCAGCCCGGGAATCTCGGGGATGTTGGGGACGTTGTAGTGCCCCGTCGCCACGATCACGGCATCGAAGATCTCAGTCCACCAGTAGTCTTGAGGGACCCCGCGGTAGAGCTGGCCGGACCTCCGCAGGGTGAGTCTCCATTCCTTGCCGATCCTCTCCACTCGTTCGACTGTCGTCCGGAGCGAGACTAGATGGAGGTAGGGCTGGAACAGGTCCTCGATGTAGTTGGCTACCACGCGGAATGGACGAGAGGCATTGGCGGGTCCAAATTGTCTGATGGAGAGGGCCGAGTTGACCTCGGGAAATGGAGTGTGAGTGAAGGACATGGCCTTAGCTCCGACATTACTGTCGAGGTGATCATAGATACCTGTGCGGGCAGTGGTGTTCTCTGGCAGAGAAGGGGTGAATTGAGGGAGAGCAGAAGGGGCTGGGTTGGGAACATCGAGAAGAGTGTTAGGGCTAGGGAAGGGATCCGGAGTCGCATCGTAGTGCCAGATGCCCCCAACCCGGTCGCGTCGCTCAAAAACCCGGATCGTGTCAAACGTGTTTTCTTCATGGAGAGCTTTGACAGCTGACAGTCCTGAAGGACCAGTGCCAATCACGGACACGCGACGATATCGGGGAGGCATTGTTGGCTGCTGACTCGAAATACTGCGAATTGTAGGCGACATTGGACGGGATGATGCACCAGGTACTCAAATATATATGGCATATCTTGTATTGGAAAACCACAACACCACCAAACGTCAATGGTATCCATCCTGTCGCCATTGCATCCTGATGTGATTAACATGGCAGGTCAATGGCCAATTCCTCATGTTTGTGAGGGGTGATAAGAACTAGGGAGTTTCTCCAATGGTGTCATTTCTGCAACCATCACACAACGGGCCAACCATCCCGCACCAGCCACACTCGTACTTTGTCGCAGATTTCCAGCAAATTACTCCAGTCATTCTGAACATAAAGAAGAACACCAGCCAGCAAACTGAAAAAGGGCATAAAGGAGTGAGTGGTACTTCACGTCGCCCAGAAAGATATATAACCCTGTAGTCTGGGTACAACTGAAAGCCTTGCGCAGCATCGCCACCAATAGCTCCATCTCCCCCATCTCCAATTTCTGCACTGTAGAGTAACAATAATGAGTGCGGCAATGAGTGAGGAAATGCGTGAGGCAGTTGCTGCGGCACTTGGTGAGGCAACAAGGGAGGCAGGGATTGAGGCTCCTCCAACCACTTATTCTGGGACCTACTACCGCGTTGGACAGTCATCCGAAACTACGCGGTATGGGATTATCGGGGGCATTCTGGAGATCGATGGCACCCACTACGGGCTAACGAGCATGATACCATTCTTGTTTCACTGCTCATCACAGCCGCCGGTCTTTTGCCGCAGCGCGATCTATAGCGTCGAGACCGAGCAGTACATCGGCGGCCCTCCACCGGACCGGGTCAACGAGGCGGAGCCCGACCCCCGGTTCTGGAGCCGTGAGCAAGGCTGGGCCCTAGTGAATCTGGGCCCCAAGCCGGAGCATTGGACCAACTATTGGTACCATGATATGACCCCGGATAAGGTGGTGACGCCGCAGTGGCCCGTTTCGCTCTGGAGAGGGTTTACCCCATACTACCGAACCCGCCGGTTGATTGGGTTGCTGTGGGATTCCTGGTTGGAGCCAGTGACTTTCCGAGTGACCAAGTATGGACAACTTCGTAACCTGCTGGTAGGCCCTATTAGTGCCTACCGGATGAAAATTTCGATTCCATATCATGACTTGCTAGGCGCGTGGGTGGTGGATGCGGAATCTGAAGCTCTTGTAGCGATGATTGTAGCCGGCCCACGTCCATCGGAGGATCCGCGGACTGTGTATGCGGTGGATGCGACGATCATCTTGGATGAGCTTGCCAGGCGATTTCCGGGAGTGAGCATCACCATTCCGAATCGCCACGAGTAAGAGGAATGGAGGGGAGCATAAAAAAAAGAAAGAAAGAAAGAAACAAAAAAGATAGTTGGCATTCAAAGACGACTGAAGAACCATGGAATGAAAATCGCATTACTGGATTTATTGTGTAAGATGGAATTGTAAGTTACGGTACGGGGTACTGGCCGGGAAATTGCCGAAGATAAGGTAGGGTGCGAGTAGTCACTGCCAACTGTTGAACCTAATAGCCGCCACCCTCCATCGCCTCCTGTAATGAAGTTAGGCAGCTTTTTTCTCTTTTCCCTCGTGTCAATTTCGCCTACTAGGCTAGGCTACTGTCAACTATCGCAACAATCGAATGATGTCCGACAATGCAACTACTGTCACCCTGGCGCAGATGCCTCAGCAGAATCATCTCTGGGTCCCTGAGGATGACTGGACTGGGGTGGTCGACCGACGAAGACGACGCCGTCTGCAGAACCGATTGAATCAGCGCGCCTATCGTATGTACAGTGTCACCTTTTTCAACGTGATGATCATCTATTCACCTGCTTTGTCCGGAATTCCAGGCATGAAGCAGAAAGCAATCAATCAATTTTCCGCATCAGAAGGCGCGACTACTGAGTCTACGTTCAATGTCTTGGTCCAGGCCCGCAACATCACCACCCACTCAACAGACTCCCCACGGTCGCATTCACCCGATGAGCCCGATGACAACGATCTGGATTGCCATCTAGTTCCTCAAGGCGCCCTACAATTCCGGCGGCAGTTTGAGGCAATTGCCCAGCAGAGCTTCCGGCTGGGCAGTCCTCAGATTGAGCACTTGGTCAGTCTTCGCCGCCTGAATGTCCACCGCGCCATCAATGAGAACATCCGCGCCTTGGGTATGACTCCAGCCTGGGTGCAGCCAGACGATGCGCTGTCCATCTTCAACTTGTCGGTGCCGGGCTCTTCGGAAGCACAAATCCCCCCGAGTCTCCAGCCCACCCCCATCCAGCGCCTCGTGCCTCATCATCCCTGGCTAGACTTCTTTCCCTTTCCCCGGATGCGCGATGTCATGATTCTCGCTGGAGACCGGCTCGATGAGGATGAGCTCTGCCGGGATCTGATGGCCTTCTGGGACACTCACAATACGGGGGCCTCCCTCGTGGTCTGGGGAACGCCGTGGGATCCCCGGAACTGGGAGGCAACCGAGGAATTCGTGCGCAAATGGCGCTGGCTACTCGTGGGATCGCCCGAACTGCTCGTCTCAACCAATTGGTGGCGGGCAAAGAGAGGAGTTCCTGCGCTGCGTTGGCACCAGTTGGGGTTACAATGGCCATCTAGCCACCTAGCCAACTAGCTACAACAAGAAATCATCATGCGCTCAGGATCAACGCTATTGCCATCTCTAGAGCTAATGCAGGAATAAATATCGCCATTTAGACTTCTTCTGCCTTTGGACCGTGCGACGCAGATTATCTCTGGGCTGCCACAGGCGCACGCTTTCTGGACCCCGCGCGGTGACGAGGAGTACTGCAGCACCAGATCAAGACAATCAACACCCCAAGAACTAACCCTCCTCCGATTCCGGAAACCAGTCCAATTACCAGCAAACCGTAGCGATCAAACCACGAGTCTGTTGGCTGCCGATTATTACAGCTGTCGCCTTGACATTGACTTCCATTATCCCCCTGACACCGAGCGTTTGCCCCCTCCCGGAAGCGGCACGTGGCCCCATCACAGCAGGCGTCCTCCTGACAATGTCCACCACAGTCGCACTCCTCCCCTTCTTCGACGATACCATTTCCGCATCCGTCTGCTGTTATAATAGTCAGGTTGCGGTCGCTATCATCGGCAAGGCACGAGGTCTGCACCCGTCGGTTGCCGATCAAGGAACATATGTTCCCGATGCTGCAGGGTGAGAATGTGGTCTGTCGAGAAGAGGAAGATGGGTTCATCAGATATGCACCTGATGCGTCGCATATGGAGGAGGAAAGAGGACAGCATTGCGCGCGAGACGAAGAGCAGGCAGGGGATTCGCAATCGTGAATCGCTCCAAACATATGCCCTGATTCGTGGCTGTTGAGATCAGAGAACCGTCAGCATGGATTGGACTAGCCACGCACTGAAGCAGGAATCAGGCACTCACGCAAAGACCTGCCATTGATTTATAGTGCGCGCCACGACGTTGGCACCTTGATTGATGTTGCACAGCCCCCCGACCAAAGACACACCCACCACATTGTTGGTGGGACAGTTCGTCATCAACGTCCAGTAGGCATTTGCCCCATCTTGGGACTCTCTCCAGGAGGCAAACTGTCGAAGACGCCAGTCTATATCCCCCGCGGAACACGGTACGTTCCAGGGCGTGGTGTCGGAAGCGCGCTCGAGGCAGGCTTCGTCACTGATGGTGAGGTTCCGGATGGCAAGAGAGATGTTGAAAGTCTGTTCAAACACTTCCGAAGCTGCATTGACCATGCTGATTAGTACTCGTCGCATTTCGTCACTGGACCCAAACGCCTCTCGAAAGGTGCAATCTGTGGCCAGGCCAATGAGAGCAATCCTTCGCGAGGTGGGACATCCGGCGGTGCTGCCTATGTGCTGGAGCACCTCGTTGAGATTTCCCATGTACTGGCGCGTGGAAAACCGGCTATGCATCACTACTCCTGCGGCTGCCGAGACGGCGAAATCTCCAAAAGCGCGAGTGTGCTGCACCGTGCCTGCAGATAAGTCTTGCAACTGGTTTAGGGCTGCATCGGGCGCGGTTATTTCCACGTGCGTCAGGGAGGTATTAACCAAGCCATCCACGGCGGTGACGGCTTTAAGATCATAGTACCGACCAAACAGACTTACAGTCCCCTCGAACAACGGGCTGTCTCCATCACGAATTAGATATACCCGGGCTCGGCCGGCTGAATCCCACGAGCTATCGGTGGAAGATACCCAGGCATCGCCATAGAAGACTCTTCCTTGGTGGTCGGCAAAGGACTGAGCCTCTTTGAGCCTTCCACTGCCATCGAGATAATGAATGTGGGCATCTTTCGAGATGATGGCACGATTGGGCTCCAGCTGCAGTCGGACCCTGCTATCATATCCGTCAATCGCGAATGTAAGGTTCAATTGTTCTGCTAGACTAGCATCCTTCGAGAGGCAATGAAGGTCAATCTCTTTCACTCGGGCTGCACGTTCTACTCTGGGGGCGTGGGTTGAGTGACCTAGTCAGGTTAGCCGGCGTCGAGGGACGCAGGTTTGCGACTGTTCACTCACCTGTGGCCGGATGAACACGTAATACGGCGAACAGGAAACAGAGGACAAGGCGATGGAACATGATTGATTGAAAATGGATTGAGGCTCTGACTTGTCCAACATCTCAAAGCCACTTCTTAAAGCACCGAGCCGGATACCAGAACAAGACCACCAAAGCCCTCGGTGACTGCGGAACCCTACTTGGGACCGCCGTTTGCTTTGCAGTCATGACAATGTGAAACAAAGTGCTTAGGCAACACTATTCTTTGTACACAAACAATGTGGTTGATGCTAATCAATGCCGATTTCCTTGGATTCTACTTCGGATACCTCAAGCCGTCTCACTGAGCCGTGGCGCCGCCAAGCACAGGTATCAAAGGCCCAGTTGAGAGTTAAGCACAGCCTCCTTTGAGGTGTCCAGTATCTTTCCTACTCTCAGCAAATGGCGTATTGATTACAAACCAGATATGACGATCACAGCCTAGAGGGTGCTTGATAGTGATGCAAGCTAGAAGTTCCCAGTCGCGTCTGCCAAGCGGTGCTGATGGGCGTTGAGGGCGTCGAGAGGCAATACCCTAGTCTCCGTACCATGGCTGCGTCCCAGTGTCAGCATATGGCGATGTGCCTCCGTCTTCGGTGGAATCTCGGTTGGAGATAAGGTAAGGCGCTAATGCAGCCGGCTTACGCCAAGAGCCCCACTTGAACTCATTTTCTTCATTTTTATCGGTTGTCTACCATGGTAATCATGAAACATGCTGACATCCCCTCACGGATTGACATGCCCAAAGAACCAATGAATAATGTATCCATGGTATCTTATTGGTACGCAAAGACCCTGGACAGACGCCTATTTACACAAACAAACCCGCCGACACCGGCGCACTCAGCATCTGCTCGGTCTGGATCTCCCCGAGCAGCGCATTTCCCGGGTAATCCTCCAAATCCAGGTCCATGAAGCCCCTGGCTGCCCACTTTCTCGCCGTGACGAAGAACGAATGACCGTTGACGATGGGGTCACTGAGCACCCGCAGTAGACACTGCCCGGCATCTTCAGTGGTGGCAAGTTGCACCCCGGTATTCGAGACGTGGGCGAACGCCTCCTCCGAGAGGATATTGGTTCGAACGTACCTAGCGCCATATGTTAGCTCACGCCATGACGCCATTTACAATATGCACGCTATTGCAACCTACCAGGGAGAAATCACGTTGATGCGCGATCCGTAGTAGTACGTGGTCCGCCGCAGCGAATGCATGATCCCTCGCATTGCCCACTTACTCGCGCTGTACTGTGGTCCCCGGGGACAGTCCAGGAAGGCTGCTCCTGACCCGATGAGAACCAGACAGGTATCTTCCTGCTCATGGGTGGGTGTGGTGCCATTTTGGCGGATGAAATAGTGCGCAGCCAACTTTGCCGTGTACAAGGGGCCCTTGATGTTGACGTCAATGATACTCAGATCCGGCTCGGACGGTTCCTGGGCAAGAGGAGTTTGCAGGAAGACTTCGTCCGGGCGATGGATCCCGGCATTCGCTACCACGTAGTGAAGGCGGCGGGTCGGGGACCAGGTCACTGCCTCGTGGAATAGTTGCGCCTGATCAGCCCAACGACTAGCGTCGCAGGCAACGAACTTGGTTCTTAATGCGACTTCCCGTCAGAGACAGACAATCCTTGATCCGAAATGATGGGACGGAGCATACCGGGCGAGCTCTTGCTCGAGCTGTTTGCCCTTATTTGGGTCAATATCGGCGAAGCACACGTAGGCCCTGGTGGACGAGGTTTAGCTGCTGACTCTGAATGATGGGAAAGGGATTCCAGGCTTATCCCCACCCAGCAGCAACCAGCGCTCGCACGTAGGCTTCACCCAGCCCACTAGCCCCTGTTCGATTCCTGAGCTCAGACATGGTCGGGCAAGGGAAAGGGTTTTGGACCAAGTACCTCCTGTGACAATGGCTAGCTTGCCTTTCAGATTGCCGGTGTCAAAGCCCTGGTCGCAGTTGACCGGCCCGGTATGAATGTAAGGAGTCATGTCGAATTGACGCTTGGATGGAGGGGGAGGACGCGTACGAGGAACGTGGCTTATTGTGAATTGGAAAAGTAACAAGAAGAATGCGGCGCAAAAAATGGGAACGACCATGCAAACTGGCCTTTTATCAATTTCGGGTCAAACTAGGTCCCTTGCCAAGCTCGCAACTGATCTAGCATTGCACGCTTCGGAGACTCTGGATGGTTAGGGTTCCATGGGCGAGTGTCGACCCACATGTCAGCAACTTGCATGAAGGACCGGGGACACACCTGTTCTATGAAGGCCAATGACGTAGAGCAACAAACTGTAGATCTATAAGTGTGCTAGGCGAACCTGCCTATTGTCCTACCTGAGAGACACCAACTCATCTTCTCGTTCTTCGACTTTTCGAATCAACGGAATCAACATGAAATTTGCAGCTGCTCTAAGCCTTATTCCAACTCTGCTGTATACCCTGCCAGCAACCGCACAAAACATGTCCTATGGTGCCGACAACTTCTACCAGAGTGACAGCGTCATCCTCCGGCCCATTAGCTTCAAGAACCAATACCAGATGACTGTGGCTGCGAAACTCTTCGTCCCCCACAACCTCACTGAGAACGGGGGCGCTGCACCAGCCATTATCGTCGGCCATCCGATGGGCGCCGTGAAGGAGCAGAGTGCCAATCTGTATGCCACCAAGCTCGCCGAGCAGGGCTTCGTCACTCTATCTCTTGACCATCAGTTCTGGGGAGGAAGCTCGGGGGAGCCGCGCAATGCTGTCTCGCCTGACCTGTATGCTGAAGCATTCAGCGCCGCGGTGGACTACCTTGGCACCCAGGATCTGGTCTCAGTTGACCGCCAGCGCATCGGTGCAGTGGGTGTCTGTGGCAGTGGTAGTTTCCTCATCAGCGCAGCCAAGATCGACCCGCGCATTCGAGCCATCGCGACGGCGAGCATGTACGACATGGGCTCTGTCAACCGGAATGGTCTTCAGCACGCCCAGAATCTCACCCAGCGCCAGGCTGTCATTGCCGACGCCGCGCATCATCGCTGGACCGAGCTGGAGGACCCCAGTCAGACTGAGTACACCAGCGGTACCCCTAACGAGCTGTCCGCCGACACCTCGGTCGTCGGACGGGAGTTTTATGACTTCTACCGGACCTCACGCGGTGAATTCACCCCTGCCGGTTCGACTCCGGAGCTCACCACTCACCCGACCTTGACCAGCAATCTCAAGTTCATGAACTTTTACCCCTTCAATGACATCGATTCCATCTCTCCTCGTCCCTTGTTATTCATCTCCGGCGATCAGGCTCACTCACGCGAGTTTAGCGAGGATGCTTATGCCCGAGCCGCCCAACCGAAAGAACTTCTCTGGATTCCGGGTGCCGGCCATGTTGACCTCTACGATCGTGTCGACCTCATCCCCTTCAGCAGGCTCACCCAGTTCTTCCAGACAAACCTCGCTAGCAACGGCACCGGCGTAGCTCGTCGTGGCATTTACTCTGCCTAATCGGTCTACACCTGTCTCGTACACCTGTCTCGTGAGGTGGCTCGGTATCAATCACCGGCAATTCAGATTGTGACTTTTAGGGCTGCTAGTGAGGATCGTGGGACATGAGACAACAACCTTCCTGCAACTGAGGCAATTCAATACAATTCTTTCTACGCTATTGCTATTACTCAAGGCAAGACCTTCTAGCACTTGTTGTTACACCTCCCATTAGCTATTGTGCAGAACTAACTGCAAGGCTTGCTTTTGGAGGCTGATGAATGAGACATACTGCCACAGCCTTGCCCTCTTCAATGGGCATCTTTCATGCATTTCTTTCATTGTCAGCGGTGCAACGGCCCGCCAAAACGTCTTGTCTTTTTACTTCTCTTCCTTTGGAAAAGGTTTTCTACAGCAATAAAAATGCTAGGCCTTTGTTTAGGTGATCCTGAGTATAATATCGCATGCTCTGCTTTTAACGCTAGATCTTGCATACACTTGTTGTTATGCTTTTCTGTGCAGTTCTTTGTAAAGATGCAAATGGTGATAGTTTAAAGATCATAAAACTAGACTCTGCTTTCATGCTTTGTTATGTCAACATCGTGCATGCTAAATCCTTTGAGCTCATGTGTTTGTCAAAGACCGCGATCCCCCTGGCACACATTAGGTCTTGGTGCTACTTGTAAGTCTTCATTGTACAGAACCGGAACTTTCTGCTACACTTGGTCAAACATGTGTGAAGTCGTCATCTGTTCTCTTTCTTCTTCTCTGCATATGAACTATATAAACCCGCAAATCCCCCCTGTCTAATCTGAAGCTCAACCTCAATAGCCAAAGACGCAAGCCTGACAACATACTGGACACCGTCTCAATCTCGGCAACACAACCTTATCTCTCTTTTACCTTGCAACCTGGTCAATATGGGACGTGGACATTACGACACTTCCGGTAGCAGCAAGCCTGCAGGCCCGGCACCACCGCCACCTAAGGAAGACAAGGACAAGAAGTAAGGTCTTGAGCAATCTCGACCTTCCTGCCACACTCGAGCCCAATGTCAAGCTGGCTGGCAGAAGATTGAAATACTGGGGATGAAGTAAAGTGTTTTTACACGTCCAGACTTCCGAAAGTAACTATAAAAAACAAAAAACAATAAAAATTGATGTAACTCCTCGTCAAGAGGGCTCCATCACTATATGATCAAACCGTTGTTTTATGACGAACTTACTTTTCTTTAAAATGTTCTTAAGATGCTTTCAAAGTACAGAATCGTAGGGAATCTGACTGGAAGCAAAATATTAAGCCTCTTCCAGGTATCTCTGGCAACCTTAGCAATGCTAAGACGTGTGCCGCTCGCAAAGCCAGCTTGACAGTTCCCTACATTTGCAGAATATAGAACCAAAACTCCAAGCACATAAAGCCACGCTTCAATTTTGACTCCCCGACTGATGGCCAGACTTATCGATTATAATATAGAACTC